CATAACTACTCTTGCCCTGTCCTCTTAAGCCCTTGGTATCTGGACGGTCGATGGCGGTGCGAAATCCGGCTTTTGAGAGACCCGATGTCCGGTCGGCTTTCTTTTAACATCGGTGGCCTTGCATTGTTTGCGGTGGCCTCGGACCGAAACCTCGAAAATTCTTCCCCTTGATTTTTGTTGATCGGCCTTCGGGTGTCTTCCACCCTTTTCTTGTGTAGCGTGATAGCACAGGTTGTCAGTGGTCTTGTCAATCGAAAAGAAATCATTGAGTCAATGACGGCGGATGTGTATAATTGTGAGATATGGCTTTTATTCACGGGCAGCATGGTCGTCATTTCGTAGGTATGAGTGATGTTCAAATACCATGCCTTAATGCAGTTCGAGCATACCTCCAGCTCGTAAAAAGGTCACTGGCAATACACCAAATCAAGATTGTCTTCAAGGCCGGCTGAGCCACGATATCAGTGGCCTATCATCGAAAGAGACACTCGCGGCCGCCTATCTTATCAAGCCTAGAAGGAGATCAATTAGACATCGTCTTACCCCAGTCAGCCTCTTTCTTCAGCTCTCATACACGCAAATAATTACTTGCGCCCAGTAGTGTGGTTTCAATTCAGCTGCACTCCCCCCTGCATACCATCCACAAGGCTGCCTATCCATCTATGTACGCTCACATGCGTTAAGCATTCTTCTTACTTGAAGTCATGCGGTGGCTTTCAGGGGTGCATCTGCTGGTTTCCTCGACTCGGTTCAGCCTTTTTCAAGTCCTTGTTTAAGAAGCCCGCGCTTTCCCAGATGAAGTTTGTCACCTCGGATTCTGCATCGTCAATGACCATATCCATCATGGAGTACAACCACTCCTCGCAACAATCTCTCTTGGGGAAAACACCCGCAAGCTCTTTCCATGAACTCAATGATCTACCTGCAGAGATCCACAAATGCCATGGGACGAACGCAAAGCGCAACTGGCGTCAGCCAATATCAGAGTGGTACTTGCTGTGTGTTTGTTTCCTGTTCAATCTAGCATTCACATTTGGCATGGTATCATTTCTTGACGGCAAAGCATTCGCTGTCAGTGGCGACACGCCCGAACTTTCATCAACTCCTATCTTCTTTTCACGACGCCTCACTCAACCCGATGTGGTGACCTTGATCTCAATATTTTTGGTCATCTGGAGGACTATCTGTGCTGCCTGGCAGTTTATCTCGACGTGGAGATGCGTCTTTATTCTTTTTGAACAATACGGACTTTCCATCGCGGAGGCTAGTTGCATGACCTCTTGGAGACTCCCGCCATTTGCTCTCATTCGCCCAAAATTGTCACTCGGCCGTCAGAACAGTCTCGTGAAAGCCGGCGCAATCTTATTCTTGTTACTTGCTTGGCCAGCCCAGTTGTCAGGTCCAGTCGCCGCCGGCTCCGTTGCCTGGGTTTCATCGATAACATACGATATGCTGAATACTACACTGTCATTAGGGACCAGTACGATGCCGCCAGTTGACCATTATCGGGAGCACTACATGATGTTCCCTACCGTTCGTAAGGCGGTGGTTCAACGTGCTGCAGGTCTGATTAGCTTCGCAGAGACTGCAAATCTAGCGGCAGTAGCAACTGCTGACAGCACAATCGCGTTATCTACCAATACGACCAAGCTCTTCCCAGTTTCGTCATCTGCGCGCCGCATGATACCACGCCTTTACTCCTACACCAACGGGACAGTGGTCGACAGCGCAATTGTTCCTATATTTGAAGTGAACTCTTTCGAATGGGTAAAGGGCATCCGAACTTTGCCCGGAAATATCACTAAAGCCCTCAAAAACTCTTCAAGCAACTATCTCACCATTTCGGAAAACAGGTTGCCTCTTACGCAGGTGATTGCTGGTATATCAGCACTTCTTAAAGATTCCCAATGGACAAGAAAACCAGCGGATAAGCTGCCCGATCATCGCGTTTACAAGGGTACAAAATTCGCAGCGATCTACGTGTCCAGGAACTGGAACCAGGGAGAGAATGAGAATTATACATGCCCACACACTTCAACAGACTTTGGCGACGTCCCTTTAGACATTGACCTCCTCAACATACCGTGGAATAACAACTTCTCCGACTGCCTGGCTGTCGCAAAGCTGGAAATTACTGCGGGCGTGACGTAATGCTCTCAGTCGGACCTCAGCAAGTCACCAAGGTCCACTTGTCTGTGGGCCTTCAATGTTCTTAGCATCGACAACGACAACGACACCGTATCACCCGATCCTCTTGTCAACGAAGTTTTCGCCATGATGCCCGAGATACAGTCACTTGTGGTAGCGATAAGCTCCTATGAGCCCGGCATACTTCAGGGAAACTTGGAAAGGTTTCTTCGAAACTCTCTTATTCAAGCTTACCAGGGGGGTTGGAGTGCGATGGCTGAACATCTCAGCCCCGTGGAGACCCAGCGTACCACAACTTCAGCTTGGAAGCCTGTTATTCTACTGGAAGCGCGTGTTTCCTCTCAGCGAATGTACGTTTGGATGGGAATGATTATGACGCTTGTGGCATCTGGCCTTCTCCTGACGATCATTCAGGGGACTTGCCAAGCCAAAACTGTCAATAATTCCCTGGTTGCTGCCGTCATGCTAGATAGCTCAGAAGTGGCTCGGAGGGATGCTACTGGCTTTTGCAATGCCGTAGATATCGGAATGGGCCATGGCAACGCAAAGTTGAGACTCAGGTTGAAAGTCAGCGATACTAGCCTAAGCTATACGTCGATTGGAAGTAGCTATTCGCATCCCAGGTTGGTGCCTGACGCAATCTGAGTCGGTAACGTCGTCTGGATCATGCAAACTAAACCACCGTCTAATCTGCATGACCATAGCGTGCCGGGTTGCAATTTGGTAAACTTCACGGCACGGAACATCTCTGGGTCCTCCAACTCTAGTTTGCTCATGTGAGACTTTTGAGAACCTTTCATATTCAATAACGATTGATCGTACCCCAGCGAAAAATGATCCGGAGCGACGTGTAGAGTCTGAAGGGAACTAGGTAGATGTTTGATCATAAAGAATGAATGAAAGATAATTAGTGGTGCAATGGTCTATGAACCGTGCATGTGGATTCGAGTGGAATTTCGACGCAGCAAAGACCATATCGCGAGTCTTCCTGGTTTGTTCCGGCATGGAAAGAGCTAACATGTCGTTTATTGACACTACACTTTAGTTCAAGAGGCTGCCATTTGGAAGATCACCTTTTGGATGGCCGGATGACTCTGGTAGGGGCATAAAGGGTGCTGGGGAACCTCGATAGCTGCCCTACAGGGTATACGAAGCGGTTGCAAGTCTCCTTACAGAGGTGGCTACCAAGGTATTCCCCATCACACCATACCTGGCCCAAGTCCTCACCCCCTACCAAAGTGCGCCCATTCATCGAGTACCATCCTGATAGACAATAAATAGGGCAAGAGCGATATAAGGATGGCCCTGGACAGGCTCATAGACCTGATTTTTCAAATTTGTCATTCAATAGAAGCCTTCGGGAGTTTTTCATCCAAGTACCATCGCATTGAAGCTGATTGGACTATCACGATCAAAAGCGCGACGATGAACCCCCCTGACCCATCTCAATATGACGCTCTTGGCTTTTACGATTGTGTGAAATCGGCCTATCCCGACAGCCGGGTCACTTACATCGCGTTTTTACTCATCTTGGCAGAATTCAAGGCTGAAAGGTGAGCACGATCATCTACTGAGTAAGGCGGCAACAGACATCAATATTAGTGGCAGAATATCTGTAACGGAGCTCATGTACATGGTCAGAGACCTCTTTCGAGACAAGCCTCAACTCATCAGAGGTTTCGGGCACTTCTTGCCTGAAGGGCATAGAATTGAAGCTGATGGGACCATCGTCACTCCCCATGATTAGAAGCCCATACTCTTCATCCGCGCTAAATAAACCCCGATGACGTTTGGAATTAGAGGATGCACCGGTCAGAATAGACAGGCAAGAACTGCGGGGTGGTTCGAAACATTCTTTTGAGTGTGGAGCATGGCGTTTGAAGGACTGTTCTGTATTTCAAGCCCCGAATGTGAAAGTGGCGTCGATTTGACTTCCTAGCTTCGGTCTAGATGTGTGACTTTTCCTAATGTATTAAGTGCTGAACGACATCCTTGTGGCATCTATCATCCGCGAGCCTAGCATAAAGTCGATTCAATAGCGCTCTACGACTCTCCTCTATTCTCTCTTTCTCCCTGAAGTTCATCTCTGCGCAGGAGGAAGATGGAAGTCCGCAGCAACTCAAGTTCTTAATCTTCATATTCGAAGAAATGGTGTGAGATTGCAGTGGTGGGCTTCGCCCCGCCTCGTATCGACGTCTTGCAGTCGGATCCAGATGCGAAACATGGTCGGAAATATCTCTTGTCAGCATTTGAAGGGATTATGCGCGCTCTCATAGAAATACACCAGTCCGCCATGTGATACCTCATTCCTCAGCCACACGACACAGGCCAGTCTCGAATCATGGATGGCATCTAGGATGACGATCCGGTATATGTGATTCTCCGCATCATACCGCATGGATAGCCAGCATCTCAAGCTTCGCGAATTGATAGGACTCCCTCAGAAAAGGAATCATGATGTCCCTTCTTCGGCAATCCGTCGCTATGACATAGCTGGGGCAGAGGCGCGGTCTTTCCTTATTAGCTTGGACATGCCCAGTTAAGGAGCACCTGGTGTGTTGGATGGCGGGGGCTGTCCTGCAGCCCCGGCAATGATTGTAAGCAGAATTGGAGTGCCGACCAAGGTCTGGGTAGTGGAGGTTTCTGCAGTTTCTGTGGGCGTGGGAAATAGGCCGGAGGGTGCACCGCTGGAGGCACTGCTGGGAGGATTGCTGGGAGGATTGCTGGGAAGGCTTGTTGAGGGATTCGTCGGTGAGCTGGCGACAAGACTCTCTGGTGGGCTTATACCAGAAGTGCTTGGTGGGTTGATAGCAAGGCCGCTTGATGAGACGATTGGGAGACTGCTCAGGCGGCTACTTTGGACACTGCTGGAGGTCGATGAGACTGGATTTAGAGAAGATGAAGAAGAGCTGGCTGGCAAGCTGATTTGTGATGTAGGGGCACTGCCTAAGCTCAGAGGCGCACCAGTTGAAGACTGGATTGCAACGACGCTTGTGACAGGAACTGATGTCGATATGGGCGCGGAAGGGGCATTGCTTGCAGAACTGGTCGTTGTTGATGGTGATGGCGTCTGCACGAGTGTTGAAATTGCGCTTGAGGATGAATTTGTAAAGCGGAAAGACATGGAAATACTCGTGCTGGAAATTGTGGGCGTCGACGACGCGACTGACGTCGTCAAAAAAACGCTGGACAGCCGCGGAGTACTTTGAAGGGAAGTCTGGGACATGACTGCTGAAGAGATGGTCGTACTCGAGCTCGACGTGTCAGGCAGGGTGGGCTGCATAGACGATGTTGCTGTCTGAATGGACGACGTTGAAGTTATTGGAGGAGAGGGAGAAATGCTCTGAGACGTCGAGGAAGTCGGAGCGCCGGATGTCGACTGTTGAACTGTAGTTGTGGTTATCGTGGAGCTCTCGGTGGAGCTAGTCACGCTAGTTGCAGTAGAATCTTGAGTCGATGTTGTGCTTGTGCTTGTTGGTTGTGTCACAGAAGTAGATGCATTTTCAGATGTCGTTGGTGTCAAAGAGCTCCCAGTGGTACTAGTGGAGGTGACGATTCCCGTTGACTTGGTTGATGACGCGAGTGTGCTTGATGATGTCGTCTCTGAAGATGCCGTCGTTGAAGACGTCGTCGTTGAATATGTTGTGGTGGAAGAGTCGGTTGAAGTACTGCTTGCGGACTGCGCTGTCGTCGAACTTGTAGAGCTCGCCGAGCTCGATGTAGACGTTGAGCTAGATGAAGTCGTCGAGGTCGACGTCGACGTAGCTGTTGCAGTAACCCCAATGGTGATGGTCCCCGAGACGGTGCCAGAGGCCTTCACCGTCGATGTGAACTCCTGCCCTACAGCAACAATAACCGTTGATGTCACGTAGTCGATTATGACTTGAGAATTGCACTGCACGCAACCACCAGCTTTTAACATGAGAGCGGAATCCCATTCCGAATCAAGGTTGTCACAAATGGCAAAGACCATCTGCTGCGTACCGGTAGCCGGTATTCCTACCAGAAGAGGTGGGGTCGAGCCCGGGTACGACGAGACGCTGTTGGGCGGCGTGATGACAATCGGCTGGCTAAAATAAGGGGATCGTGCCGTGATTTTTGCCCCGTCGTAGCCTATGGCATACTGCTGGCCGCCGAGGAAGATACCTATGGGATCAGGACTTCCCCTATTAAGTTGTCAGCAGTCTTGACTCATCAAATGGAAGATTGGCTGCTGGCGAGATCGTACCCTTCTTCTTCCGAGGCCATGATGAATTCGACTTGAACTCCGTTGTAGCCATTAGCAATAGCGACAGAGACGCTCAAAATTGCAGCGTTGTAAGTATTAGTGCCGCAATATGTATTGCTTCCGGCCGCTCCGTTGTTCACGTAATGGTCACCGTTGGGAAGAGCCCCCACGGCGTTTCCAGTTGTCAAAATTGCACCATTACCGATGCCGCCAAGGCCGTCTGTGAATGTCCCTGAACTGGCCGATCATCCTGTAAAAGTCGCTGATTGCACGACTACCCCGGGGCCGGTAAAAATGGCGTTGGCCAAAACGAGTGCGTTGTTCGATGCGGTAACGCCGAAGCAGTGACAAAGAGGTATTGCGGCCGCGAGGATCGCGGTCGAGGTAGAAATTCTAGCCATACTCATTGGATATGGCTGAGTTCACATCAAATGGCTCATCGGAAAACATTGACAAAATCCAACCTGTAGTTTGGCAGGGGTCGACACATTAATCGAGAGGCTGCCGAGCGATTTTGATGACTGCACAACGCGATCCTCGAATGTTTACAGGCGTTCTTTCTGAGTTCCCTCGGTCTTTCCTAAAATGGAAGCATATTTTCTCCAGAATGAAGCAGGTCATGAATAGAGACAGTCTTTCGGGGAAATATGCCAAGGGGCGGGTCGCAGGGCACACTGGAACATAGAGGACGTCGAAGCGGAAAGCAATCGTCGACCCAGGCTCTGGAGGTCTCAGAGTACGGGCCGTGTTCATCGCATGCTGACGCGAATCACAAAATCTGGAAGAATTCTGCTATACGGGCGGGCAGTGGCCATACCTAGACGATAATATGGGCGGCAGCGACTACGATGACGAGAGGGACAGGGGCAGGGAGATGAATAGGGACAGGGACGAGAGACACGACGGGGGTGATGGGAATGATAAAATTGTTACGATGAAACAAACTATTAAGACCCAACATTGGTAGTTTTCCGGCCCGGTTCGTTAGATACATCCGCCCGGATAACAAAACTAAGTATGCAAAAGGGTACGCCGATATCGTGCCAAGATTACGACAGCTATTTCTCTTTCCGCCTCGTTCGGTTCTTCACTTTTTAGCAGAAGTTCCGGTCACCACTAGCCACTCATTCTGATTTTGTGCCCCAGAGATGTAGCGCATACGAGTGTTCCTGTGCCAAGGGAGATATGACACCACATGCGATAAACAAGCCTGTCTTGGCATGAGGCATGCTAACTCGAGATGCTGGTCCTCGTGCCAATGGCGATCTTCATAGGAGACGCGTTGCTCCGGCCTGTGGTAGGTATGCTCTGAAGTGCTGTTAAATGAACGTTGTCAGCACAGGGTTCGGCAGAGGGAATAGGAGGCGCAGGCGGGCGAAAGACAATGTCTTGACTTTCCGAGTTGAGTAATGCCATTCACGAGGCCGACGCCCCACTCCTCAGACCGAAAAGCGAGAGATCTGATGGTCTGCTATGAATCCGCTCACAGCGGTCGAGACCACCTCGCAGATTCGAAATTGTCAAGTTTATGAACGAAGCTTCGTCTTGAGCGGGGAAGCGCCAGTGAAGACGGATAGTCTTTCACCAGCTGAAGTCGTGCGATATCCGGCTCAGACTTACCTAGAATGATGTCTCTTAGTAACTTGTTCAGTTATCCAGAGCGAAACTAGGGAGGACTATGAGGGGCAGGAGGGGAGGCCTAAAGGGAGGCCTAATGAGAGGCACTCAAGGAGTCAAGTGCTCTTCCTCGGCATCGAAGGTCTCCTTATCGAAGAAACAATGCAATTAACCACTCTCAGCTTCAATTCCGTAGCATCTCTCGATTTTTCGGGCGAAATTGATGACTCGGCTCAGAAAGCAATTTTTGCCAAATTGATTTGTCGAGAGACGTACCGTGTCGCGTTTCGTGCCAGGCAGTCGAAAGAGAAGTTAATGAGAAAGCTGATGTATGTTACATAAGCGAACGGTTTTCTGGCTTCCGCCAAAAAAGCCACCATGCACTTATGTAATCAGTTAGAGCTGTGAGCTCCCCCATTCGGGACAGCAATCCCCGCACCTTACCTAATCAAAATTTCCAACGCTCCGAAAAACTTCAATGTCCAAACCACCTCCAAGGGTCCATCACGAGAAGGCCTCACCACCGCGAACACCACCCCCTCCCGCCCTCGCGCCGACCCGGACACCGCCGCCCTCCTCACCCTCCGAAGCGACGACGACGCCGGCCGAGTCGAATAAACCACCTCCCCTCGCCCAATTGATCCCTCCGGTCCGGTCTGGTCAGCCCACCAAAAAAACCACATCACCAACCACACACCGCGACAATGGAAGCAAGGACAATAACCCGCCCAGCGGCCATCCTCCTCCGCGGCGCCGCCAGACCATCTCCCTCATGCTCACCATCCCTCACCCTCCGCCGCGGCCACAAGACCACAACCCGCACAAAGAAGGCCCTCAAGATCGCGCCCCACCCAGACTTCCTCCCCTCGCACCAAGGCGACACAATCCTCATCAACCCGCCCTCCGCCGCCCCCTCCGTCTTCCATACCCCCTTCAAGTTCCTCCCGCCCACCGACCCCCGCCGCCGCGCCAACCTCTCCCACCTCTTCGCCTCCTCCTCTTCCTCTACCTCTGCGGCGGCCACACCATCAACAGAAGGGACAAAACTGCCCCCGGCCCTCGCCGTCCCCTCCCGCGGCGCCAACCCGCGTTACCACCTCACCCCCGCCGACGTCGCCGAGATCCGCCGCCTGCGCGCCGCCGACCCCGTCACCTGGTCCGTCTCCGCCCTCGCCCGCAAGTTCGACTGCTCCGAGGTCTTCGTCACCATCTGCACCCCCGCCCCCCGCGAGCACAAGGAGAAGCTCGCCCAGAAGCTCGAGAGCGTCAAGGACGGCTGGGGAAAGATCCGCACAAAGGCCCGCGAGGACCGCTCGCGCCGCAAGGAGATGCTCCTCCGTGGCGAGTTGTAAAGCGGACTGGGATTGAAGATGTGTTGTTACATATTTGCAGAGAAGAAAAACCTACGGTTATAGCCCTTGCGAGGGACGACTGCTACGTGTGGATGAGGTTGAGGGAAAAATGGGCAGATGAGGCTTGTCTGTATCAATACGGGACGAAAAGAAAAAGCAAAAAAGGAGGCTGCGACGTGTTTGATCGCGTGCTCGCGTGTCTACATGCCATGATGGAGGTTTACACACAAAAAACAGGCGGTGGGCGGGGATGTAGGATAGAGACGAAGGACGAATTCATGCTCAGGGCTGAAGAGCAAAACACCCAACCATATCTGTACAATGAGTAAAATTCATAGAAACTCGTGTATAATTTTTTTCCATACCTGGTTCCCCATTACAAATACGCCGTATTGAACTACCTATCAACTTGTGCGAGATAAGTTTCTCAAGCACTACATCGTCGCTTCTAAGAATCATGAACACTACTACTGGATCAGGCCCATTCGTTTTTGAACCTGGGGCTGTGTATCCACCCCTCTGACCACCCCTTTTACGTAGCCTCCTCTTGTTTGTCCAGCCAGTGTAGTCTGCTGGCAGTTATTGTCTCCCCTGGTCGCCGCTACACACAGCGATCTATATAATCCTACTTAAAAGCAAGTATCAAACCCATCGTCATCATCACATTATAGAAGAAATTTCCGCCATAACCAAGCGCTCACAGCTTGGGCACCTTGACGCCCATCTTGTCCGCCATCTCAACACCGGCCTTCTCCAGGTCATCCTTTCCAGGTATGACCCTCCAGCACCAGCCGCACCAGCTCCTCCTGATGCCATTGGCTTCTCTGCTGAGAATCTTGGATGAATGTCGCTCGTCGTCCCACTCGGGCACGCAGGCGCCCACACTTACCATCCTCACCAGCTTCGTCTTCACAACGCCGCCGATGCCTTCAATCTCGTGCCTCTCATAGCCAGGGCCGAGTTGCGGGCTCGGCGTCCTTTGGTACCGCACGGTATCAAGATGCACCTCGTCCGTAGCCTCCCAGAGATTGGCTCCGCTGACAGCCGCATCCTCAGCGTCGCAATCAGTCTCGTTCTCACGCTCCTTGGCGCCGACGCAGGCGTGTTCGCGACCGCAGATAACACCGCGATCGCCTTCGCCAATGCCCGTACCCAAGCCGCCGAGGACTTCACCATAATGGGCGCGCCATTTCCAGATGCTGAAAATTGTTAGCAGATTAAGTTATTGGTGTTGGTGGCGGAGGTTACATACCGCCGGTAATCCTGATCGGCAGCGCGCATGCTCCGCCCGCAGGGCTGGCAGAGCCAGACACCATCAAGCTCGCATCTGCAGATCTCCCGTCGCACCGCGTCGTGGGTGAGCGGTGTGTCGGGATCCAGAGCTGGGTTCACGAGCGCGGCAATTGGGGCCTTGACGCAGGGCTGACACAGCCTGCGATGACGGTCTTTGAGGACTGTACTGGCTGGGGGTTTGATGGCACAATTCTGTTATGACGTGTCAGCGATCGGCTGTTCTTGTGTAGCCTTCTCGGCTCCTCCCCGAGCCAATGCCGCATGCCCCCTTGGGGAGGCTGGTAGGCTGCCTTCCTCTTCACACAAGTAGGGGAGCCCCTCTCGGCGAGAGGTCCAAGGGCATGCGGCACGGCGTAGGACGGCATACCCTGCACACAACAGTCTCACACCTCCGGCACTCCGTCACCAGGTCCCGGGCGCAGCTGCCGCTCTTGCCGTTGTAGGCGCGTCCGTCTTCCATGTAGTACCAGTTGCTCGCCCTCGCGCGGTAGCGGAAGGTTGACTCCGGGTCGACGGGGTCGAGCTCATTGGAGCAGTGTAGCGTCGAGGAGAGGAGGATGTTGCGGTATTGAAGCAGGCCTTGTCGGACCATGCGGCAGGTACGGGCCAGACTGTCGAGGGTGTTGAGGTCGATGTGTTCGGCGATCGCCATCACGACACTGCCCGTCCATGTCAGACATCGTATGGGATTGGGGGTTGGGTAAGCTTACGGATAGCAGCCAAGAGCCTCAGTGGCAGCACTCTGGAAGGTCGGGGATGGCTCCGGTGCAGCAGCAGCAGCAGCAGCAGCAGCAGCAGCAGGCGGAGCCATGTGCATAGCCGGAGCTGGGACGGGGACTGAGATGGCGACGGCAGCCATGTTGGGCCTGTAGAATTGACGCTGATACTCGCGGTTGCGTGCTTCGATGCGTTGGGTGACGGCGGCGGCGGCTGCTGCTAAACGACGGGCCTCGAGGACATGAAGAGGTTCGTCGTCCTCTTCTAAATCAACAAAGACGACCATGCTGGGCCAGGGCAGCTGGACAGGGGCCAGGTATATTTGACTGGGCGCCGGTGAGCGGTTCAGACGCACGAGCAATGCTCGAGCTTGGGGTTGCTGCCAATCTGGTCTCGGTTCCTGACACCCGAGCCGAGCTGTGTAGGTAGACCGTAGTGTAGTGTACTGTGTGGTGAGGTGCACCTGATGGCGTGGGATGGGGATGGGGATTGGGATGGGCGGGGTGGGGTTCGAGAATCCCCCGATGCCGCAGCTGATGCTTGTTTTCCCAACCGGAAATGATGACGCAACGGATGTATTGTCTCGGCAGATCCTGTGGAGATATCAACAGGAGATATATAACAAATAAATAAAAGAGAAGAACAACATGTAACGAATTTGCGGAAGAAACGATACTACGAGACCAGAAACACGACGTTTGAGTCCATCGCAAGTCGACGACACAAGGCGGGCACCGGGGTGGTGGTTGACGGAAGGATGATGTTCGCTGTTCAGGTCGATCCTGTTGCTGCTGCTGCTGCCAGGGGGTGGGGGGAGAGAGTTTGGGTGGAGGGGGGCGCCAGCCAGCGCACCCAGCAAGCAGCAACAGCATGCGGACGCGCCAACTCGGAAGGTCCAGTCCAGAGGTACCCGCACTGGATCGAATCAGATTAGATCAAGCCCAGCTACCGTCACTCAGCGAACCATCTCCCCCTTCACCTCGACCTGAGACCTGGCGGGATGGCATGGCACAGGCGGCACCTCGCTGAGGTGGTGATCTCTCTCGCTGCCCACTACTACTGCAGCTAACCTGCTTGGTGCGAACCTAGACCGCTCCCCACGATACGCGAGCGCAACACCACACACGGTTGAGGCGCTGATCAGGTACGAATGCCACCGCCAGTCCATCGCCCGGTGACCGCCAAAACCCCAGAAGAAGTCACGACGACACAAATATGGCCACGGTTCGCCCAAGCAACAACGCATATGCACTGGGGGATGGCGACATGCACCGTTGCTTTCTAGCGCCGACACCTCAGGCGGCCCTGTGAACCGCGCCTCAGCGAAAAGCTTGGGTCACCCGGACGCAGCGTGCATCAGCGTTTCCGTTTTCCCCAACACGCCTGTGCTCAACCTTCTATTTTCGACCTCGACGCGAAAAATTGGAAACCCCAGACTTTGCGAGTCCGCGGACACTGTGCTGTCTACTTGCATACCTAGTAGTATGGCTTCCACAACTCTGCTTGGGTCTCCAATTGCGTGCTCACCACGGTGAAGCCCTCCCCTTGGCGGCGGGGGTCGACCCCGAAAGCCGGAGACGGAACACCCCACCCCGAGCCGCGCACCGCCGAGCCGTCTTCGGCGATGCTGGGGGCTTCGTTTCTTTTAGCTAATATTCCCGATTCTCCGAGAGCTTATACCTGTTCTCTCATACAAAACGCGGGGGTTTCACGATGGGCTCCTCCTCATGACATGATGATTTTTTTTTTCTTCCTGGGAGAGTGACCCTCCTGATCCCGCCTTTCTAGAACGTCTCTCCCCTTGTCTTGCTTCCCTGCGGTGCAGATGCAGGTGCAGGTGAATGACACGGGTCCGGCCCGGTCCTTGCACGGATCCGCATCCCGAATGTCGGTGTCGGAAACCTGCACCGGCCCGGTGTGACCTTTGGCTATAAAATCTGATCCATGGCCCAGCTCCTCCTCGACTGTTCCGGACCAAGCATCACAACGCACTTTTAATAGCACATAAATGAGCCTCGCCGTCCGAAGACACCAACCTGTATAAGTCGACAATCCGGTGGTGCTAGATGAAAGCACCCGCGAGGCTCGAGATAGCTCTATCTAGAATGGCAGTGGGCAAAAGCGACAAAGGCAACTGACGGAGACAAGGAGAAGGAAATTAAGAAGCAAACGAGGGAAGGAATGGGAATGAAAAGAAATGGCGTTTTGGACGGAGGGAGGCCACGAGATGAGCCATCCTAGTTGGCTGAATCCGCGGCTGTGCAACGGTAGGATGGAGACCGCTCCGGCACTTCAAATGATGACACAGGGGCTTCAAGACGATTGAAATCAAGGTAATAATCTTGCAGTCTCCGGCCAGAAAAGTTGTGCAAACTCCACGACCAAAAGTTTGATTCCACGATCATACTCGTACGAGAATGAAGTATACGGAATTTACAAAGGTTGAGCTCTGGCAAGGAGCTGCTGTCCGGCCGGAGGTCACGCTGGCTAAGCTGTCCCAACCTACCACATCCAGCCTGCCTATCTTCCCCGTTGCCACATTGCCGCCGTCATTATACTACTTGTTTCAAAGTCTATCCAATATCAAGCAAGAAGAAAAGCCCTCAAAGGACAATTACAAAGTCGCGAGTGTATGAGCGCTGATAGACAATGCCCAAACCATTGCGCGAAAGCTCAGAACCACTCTACTTCCGGGCCGTCCAACTGCCAGCGAGAACCCCGAGGATATCGCTTTTCTATCTCGTACTCTTCGCGCCCAGAAGGGTGAAACGCGATTCCCACCTCGGCAAATGCTTGCGTGAGAGTCTGCAGTTGCTCCGGGCCAAGCCCGGGGCTTTTCGGCAGGAAGCGATATGTCACCGACTGCAGGTCGGGGCAGCGTTGTCGTAAGTGACGCGGGAGCAGCAAGAGCCCATCATGAGCGTGCTCATGAACATAACTGCCGCGGGGCCAGTTGCTTCTCACGTGCGGATACTCTACGCTGTCCCACTGTTCTTCAGTGATTACCATGCTTTCGTCGTCGTCATCGATTGCAACTTCTCTGACAAAGTGTATCCTGGGGTCCGGGTCGTCGCCATCTGCATCATCGTCGTTGAGCCCGTCGAACTGAAGGTGCTGCAGTCGCTGGGGGAGCAACTTGATGAGATGCATGACCTTCTCGTAGTTAGACCTTCTGACATACGGGTGTCGCTGTACCCAAAGACAGTCGGAGTCAACATCCAGACGCTCGAGGACGCTAAGGAACTCCAGAGGCTCCAGGATGCCAGCGGGTTCGAGGAACTTCTGGGCGTATCTGCTGACCTTGGTCTCATGACAAAGCCTGACGATCCATCGGTCGAAATGGCTCAGCTTGAGCTCCTTCAACTGCTCTGCGATGGGCTTCAATAGATTGACGATGCCTTGAGGGGTGGGGCAATCGTCGTCTGGACCTCCCCCGAAACAGTATAACCCGCTGTCTGTATACTCATAGTGAAGTTTTTGTAGGCTGGGCAGTCTTCTAACCAGCTCGGGAAGCACCCGCATTGTGACAACAGAGTTATCCCCTATCTCGAGAAACTTGAGACGGGGTAACTTGAAGTCGGGAACGTCGGCCGGTGATTCCTCGTGCCAGAGAAATTCGCCCATTTTCAGGGACTCTATATTCGGCGCGACGTTACTGAGTGGTTTCAAACAGCCGGACATGTTGGTACACACGTTCTTCAGGTGCGGAAACAGTACTCGCCCCCCAGCGGCTCTGGCAACGATGTCTACCGTCTCCATGTGGAAAAACTCACGCCGCTGACACCACTTCCCGTCACCCTGCTCTTGCCCCGCTTGAGATTTGATCGCGAGGGTATGCAGGTTGGGCATTTTCGTGATGAGCAGTTCCGATAGCCATACCATGTATTGGATTGGGTGAAGCAGGTGAGCCGCGGGCAGGTTCAGGTCGGGGAGGGCCTCCATTTTTTCACTTCTCCACATGGTATACAAGGCTTCGAACCATTGTAGATTGACATCGTCCATGTCCGTATCCGTGTGTAGGTGCATGAGGTCGATCTCTTGTACGAGCTCACCGAGGCGTGGGTTGAGGGCGAACGCATCAAAGAGGTCAAGAACGCGGTGAAGACTGAGCTCATCCGGCTTCGAGTGTTCATGAGGAGTGAGGGTCTCATACAGCGCGGCGCTCGAGAACTCGCGGATGCGCTTGCTCGTACAGCAGAGACTGGTAGTGAACTCGTCTTTTTGTGCGACGACGAGTTTGAAAATTTGGTGGAGAATCTCCGGAGGCAGCGTTTCGAGTGTTGACTTGGCCATGTTGAAGGTCCGTATGGCGGTGACGGGATTGATTGAACTTGAAAGGGGGAAGATGATGGAAAATGAGAGCGTTAGAGACGCGTGTAATTAAAGTGCACGCAGGAACGTCCCGCCTGGTAGGGTGTGCATGGTTCAGTGTCGACCCGGTGAAATGGTCGCCATCGCCCTTTCCAGCTTCAGTGTCCACTTGCCTTAGTTAAGGTATATTTGCAAAGTGACTTTTACAGTCACATAGCTCACGAAATGCAGAGCGTCACAATAGGTAGGTACTTGGTAGGTACTGAAAGCGAAAACGCTGGAAGAAACATCTCATTTTTACCATCTTGCCTCTCAACTAACTAAACGGAACCCTTCAACCATCAAGCCATGCATAGCAACCTATCGAACCTCGTTAGTCATTGATCGCGACACAGACGAATAGACATGAGGTGAGTGAATGAATGTCGGTTCAGGATTTTCAGTGTGTAACAATAATCATGTAAATAGATATCATTGCCATGGAAGTTTAATTTCTCATCATTTGAGACGGTGATGTGGAAGAAAATCAGCAGGAACTTACATTACAGTTTGAGGTTGCAGGACCAGACGGCCGCAGAAATAGAAGAATCCCAGCCAAAAATAAGACTGTGAACCGATCCTGTCGATTTTCACTGCGACGCAGCTGGTCCTGTGTTTGTTGCCGGGAAATTTGTTCGTGTTGAGTGGGAGGAAAGACGTTGGAAGAAAAATTTGCGGCGGAAGGAGATTTATTTGCAACGCGACGTGGGTCTCACATTATGTAAGCGTGTATACCAGGTGCACGTCCCACGCAGTGGGTATGGCGCGCTCAAGCTAAGGTACCACAGCACAGATTGGTGACTTCCATTCGACATCACTCGTGAGAGGTATCAAGGCCTGCTCCAGTATCGATTCAATTGACTACGATCTAGGACGGGACACTACGTCTTCCAAATACCCGCTATCGATACTGCATCGCCTCACCGGTTGGATAAGCAACTTCTGAGTGGCAGCGCAGCAATGGCGGGGTGAACGAGCTCGTGGCCAACCACGTCGCACTCATCCATCTTTCTTGGCAGGAATGCTGCGCTTTGCTTCACGAATGGCAGCCATCAGAGGTCGCCCGCCTTCCGCCATCCAACGATGCGGAAGATGGACCACTCCTCCCAGAAGCTCTTCGCCTTCTCAAGCACCTTTTCCTTGGGACGCTGACTCTCAACGACTTGAGGGTGCGGCACCTTGCGGCCCTTCCCAGCGCTGATGGGCAGAATCTCTTGCTCAATCTTGGCGACACCAGTGCCTCTCAGCACGCTGCCAAGGGCATCAACTGCCTCCGCCGCAACGCGACCAACACGACGGCCAGGAATGTGCAGCGAGGTCTCAAAGCCCGTTCGCTGAGTCTCGCCAAGGAAGCTCCTCGAGCCATACTCGTCGGTGAGCTCATAGAAGCGCCAAGACTTGGTCTCAGTGTCGCCATTCCAAGAAACATACACCGACGTGCCGTCCTTGTTCTCGAGCGCGACGATCGCAGGCTCCTCCGAAGGCAGGCCGGTCCAGTTGAACCGGAAGGCGCGGTAGTTCTCGACAGCCACGCCAAGATCGCCAGAGTCCATGTACACGTGGAAGATGGGAGTACCATCGGCCTTGAACTCGGTCACGGCTCCAGAAGAACCCCAGTTGACGAGCGCGTTGCCGCCGGGCAGAATCTGCGTCGAGCCTTGGCTCTTGGAGAGCAAGTCATCAGGGGGGTAGAAGCCCTGGACTAGCTCGGCCTGCCAGGTACGCGTGTTCACGCGGATGATCTTCCCGCTGCTCGTCGGCGCTGTGTGCACCTCCCTACCGCCGCCGTGCTCCGTACCATGGGCGCTGTTATCGTACATACTCAGGACCTCCTCGTCGCCATCTTGGGACAGCCAGCGAGCGTGGTGCTGGAAGCAAAAGTCGACGCCCTCGCCGAGGTCAAACGACGAGTTTGTGCCTGCCAGACGCCAGATGATGGATCCGTCAGTGCCGTTGATCTTGTGCACGGAACACGCGTCGCGGGCGGAGATGAGGTAGTTGCCAGTAGCATCCTTGTCGACGCTGTTGATGTGGAAGTAATCCCATGCGTCGGAGCTGTTGTAGCCTGACCCGGCTTGGCCAGGGTTGATGGGCAGAATAGCCTCTGTGATATGTGTGAGATAATGTGCACTTCAAGCGAAGGCTGGCATCTTACCATCAGGAGTGACGTGGTCAAGACTGGACCATTCGAAAAGAAGCTTGCCAGTAGCAATGTCCAACTCTATCACGCCATCAGTACGACAGTCGGGTGTTTTGACGATTCAAGCTTTCCCACCTCGAATAATCGCATTCACAATCCACTGCTGCTCCGGCTCCGCGCCCCACGGCGTCAAATCCCTCGGAACAGGCTGATATATCTGAATCAACCCCGTCTCCTCATTAACAACATGAAATTCATGCTTATCAACAAGCTTGTGGTTGCCCGCGCGCAGCTCCCGTATCGTCTCGTAATGCTGGTCCAAAAACGTGACATGCCCATGCCCGTGGCCGTACCCGGGGTTATGGTCCCCCTCGAAGCTGAACAGCACATCCCGGCCGCGCCAGCGCGCCGCCTGGAAGTTGGTCGTCCAGATGCTGTAGATTGCGTACCCGCTCCACACGAGCTCGCCGTCGTCACGGAAGATGTACGGCCCCGCCTGGCGCGGGCCGTGCTGCTCCGTCGGCGTGTCCGGGAGGCCCGCGAAGGGCGCGACGAACAGGTAGCCCTGCTCGACGTCCGCGGTCGCCGGGATGGTGATGTTGAGGCGCGGCGGGGCGAGGTCCGGGCGAGAGCGGTACTGCCAGCCCGCGGACGCGAGGGGGGCGAGGAGCGCGGATGCGGCGAGGAGGGCGATGGTATGCTGCTTCATGGTGGGTGGCTGGGGAACCTAGGTGCGTCAGCTATTTCCGTTGGGTTACCCATTGCGAAGAATAGGTACATTCACCTTGGTGAAGTACATGAGCCCTAGAGTTCAAAAGATGATTTGTGAGAATTTCCTTCACTTGTTTTCCAATATTTTCAGTTTGCAATGCTTTGCTTGCCAGAGCTGTTGCTGGGTGAGATAAGGTAAGAAAAAGGTAGAGATACCCCGCCCTTTTCAATTCAGCAGACTTTGTGTGTGCTTCCCCTCAGCTTTTGGATCGGCATGGCGACATCAGTATCCTTGCAGAAATGCCTTGACATTTGTGAAGTATGGCACCATGATTGTTACGGTCTACGCAATTGAACCATTCGGAGCTTCATAGCTTGGAGAGATGGGACTTGTCTTCGGCCTGACTCATTGTCTGTCTTGCACCACGACGAGTCCTATGACGGTCTACGACCAATGCTACGTGTTTCGAGCTCTCTGGGGCTCGAAGACGCAGGCCAGCCAGTACGGGCGGAGATTTGGGTGACAATCGTCTTGGATGGATTCACTGGTCTGCCTCAAGTATTGTGGAAGCAGCACGTTGAAAACTCTTTCATTGCGTGCTTCGAAGGATTGCTTCGGTCTCGCAACTATGCTCAAGACAACGACTTCGAGGAATCAATCCCCTACGTGTCCACGTCCTGGAGTCAGGCCTTGCATGTACTTCATCATGACATCAACCCCTCACCTACGGCACTGAGCGGAATCTCATGCCGTGTGCCGCTAGCGCGGGGTGCCCAGACTCCTTCAACCAGAACCGATGTGGAATCATTTCAACGCCAGGAGCGATATAGCAAACGGCGTAAACAGCGTGGACGGAACAAGAGTATGAAGCATTACGTGCTTGAGATGCATATGGTGTGATATACCTTCTCCATCAAAACCAAGATGCATACTGCAGTTATCGGCTACCCGACCCGGCACCGAAGCTGGCCCGCCGAGACCAAGGACCCTAGACCGTACGGACGAAGCCCGGCCCCACGTCACCCCGCCGGTTCCCCATCGGCGGATGAAACTGAAGAAGAGAAAAAATGGTCCCGCCTTGCACTTTGTCATTCCCGCCCACACCCCGGCTTATCGACTCCATCCAGCACTGACAAGTTTAAAGCCGCGCCGGAAGAGTCAGACCGAGTCGCTGTGGCCCCGATTGCGTGATGGCCGTTTGAATTTTCTTTCACTCTCCAACTCAATGAAATCCTCCCATTGAACAGCCGCGCATCCCCACTTCCGTCTCATCTAACGTCCACCCGGCAGCCATCCTAGTTCCTGCAGACTGAGACTCTCTTATCTCATCAGCACGTGCAATTAGACACCACGCTTTGAAGGCCATCAGACTGGATTGAAAATGTCGAATCCCCGGCCCCACTCCGACGAAGAGGCCCGGGCCCCGGCCTCACCGCCGCCCCCGTACCCCGACGCTGACCCGGCCCCCCGCGAAGACCAGCCCCTCCTCCGCGACCCCGCCGCCGCGGTAACCTCCGGCGAAGCGTGGAAGCCCCCGCCGGGCTTCACCTGGATCGAGCTGGCCATCATGTCCAACGTCTTCCTGTACGGCTTCGACGGGACCATCACCGCCGCGACGTACGCCGTCATCAGCTCCGAGTTCGACGCCGCCAACACCGCCTCGTGGCTGACGACGTCGTACCTCGTCACCAGCACCGCCTTCCAGCCGCTCTACGGCCGCTTCTCCGACATCTTCGGCCGGCGCGTGTGTTTCTTCGTCAGCAGCGTCACGTTCGGGCTGGGATGTCTCGGTTGCGGACTGGCGCGGGATGTGGTGTTGTTGAATTGCATGAGAGCGCTGACGGGCTTTGGTGGTGGCGGGTTGATGACGATGGGTAACGTTTCCGATCGCAACTGTTTGATTCAAGACGTAGAACACAACTGACCAGCCCAGCAACAATCGTCAACTCAGACATGATCCCCTTCCGCAAGCGCGGCATGTACCAGGCCCTTCAAAACGGCATGTTCGGCTTCGGCGCCGTGGCGGGCGCCTCCTTTGGCGGCTCCATCGCCGACCACATCGGCTGGCGCTGGTGCTTCCTCCTCCAAGTCCCCGTCTCCGTCCTGGCCCTCGTCCTCGGTGCGATTGTGATTAAGAACCCCGAGGGCGGCTTTGACATCGACACGACTGACTTCAAGGCCATCTGGACCCGTGTCGATGTTTCTGGTGCGCTGTCGCTCGTCGTGGCTATCTCGGTGCAGCTCGTCGGACTGAGCCTGGGCGGGAATGAGTTGCCTTGGGGCAGTCCGATCGTCATTGGGACGCTGGTGGGAAGCGTGCTGCTGTTAGGCCTGTTCCTGGTCGTTGAGGCGAGAACGAGGGCTATTCCTGTTATCCCACTGAGGATGCTGAGGGGTCGGTTGCCGGTGTTGACGCAGATTTCGAACGTTTGTGCGGGACTAGCGGCATATGCGGTAAGTGAAGACTCTTGAGATCATTTCGATTGACGGGAAACGCTTCTAAATCGAGACAGTATCTCTTCATGCTGCCTCTTTTCTTCCAGGTCGTATTGCTGGACTCAGCGACCAAAGCTGGCGCCCGACTGGCGATTCCATCGCTCGCAACCCCTCTTGGCGGCCTCGTTGCCGGGATCGTCATGTCACGTTGGGGCAAGCTCGTCTGGCTTGTTCGCACCGGTGCTTTCTTCATGCTCTTCGGAAACGCCCTGGTAACGGCTCTGCAGTTTGAGGATAGCAATTGGAAGTACTTGGTGTACATCTTCCCAGCGAATCTCGGCCAGGGAATCATCTACCCCGCCATTCTCTTCACGACACTAGCTTCGTTTGATCACGCCGGTAGGTCGAGCCTCACTATCAGAACATCAGACTCGGGCTAACATGAACCACAGATCACGCCGTGTCTGCATCAACAGTCTACCTCGTCCGCTCCCTTGGCACCGTCTGGGGCGTCGCAATCACCTCAGCCATCGTTCAGACGACCCTGAGCGTCCGTCTGCCAGATGCTCTCGGCGATGTCCCTGACAAGTGGAGAGTATGAAGTTCCCTAATTATCCCTTGGTGTCTCAGTTACTAACATCATGGAAGCTCATCGACGAGATTCGTCATTCTGTGACAGCCCTCAAGACCCTCCCGGTGGAGGTGCGTCTGCCTGCACGCATGGTATACTACGAAGGCATCCGATATGCGTTTGCTGCATCCACGACGTTCGCAGCTATCGCGCTAGTCGCGGCGCTGTTTGCCAGTCCCCGCGGTCTTCGGAGCACTCACAAATAGAGAGGATCGCCTTCAGGGGGCGTGTTCAGGGGTGGTAGGATCACGTCATGCCGAGAGTCTCCATAGAATGGCCGTGACCGGGGCCCAACCAACATCTTACGTACATCGGCCATGGGCACAGTAGTGATTGCATGATGATGAATGACAAACTTAAGCGCACCGGACATGTAGATGAAGTCCCTCGAGGGTGGATAGAAGTGCGATGGTGGCGCTCCATGTACAGGGATAGACAAAAAGGAGGTATTTCAATAGACAGGGCTTGGTACATTTGGTTTGTTACACTAGAGTACAGAATCCGAACGCATTTGTACCATGCAAGACCTCGGTGACTTCCCGACCTTGGACACGTTTTTATGTTACTCCTCCATCAAGAACCAGAGTTCCCAGCCCGAGGCTAGCAACGAATCCTCAGCCCATAAAAGTCCACCTTAAACCATGACAAGCCTGTTCTTCCTGATCGCGCAACTGCTATTGCATATCACACAATTGTTGCATTGCGAGGAACGCAGGTGTTATGCAAGGTGTGACGCAAGAGACAAGACGGGATGCTACAAGGACGTCGATGGGCAGAGATTCAAGAGAAGGCATTTGGTTCGACAGCTATTTCATTTGAGCCGCCGTAAGAGACTCGTCTACGGAAGATCATCTTGCGTAGGCTTTTGTACTTTTTCAACCGCTGCATCACGCTCAGGTTTAAGACGTTTTCAAAAGCCAAGATGTCATCGAAAGCACCGGAGACCAGCGGCTCCGAGACTGACGTCAATGTCCGCGATGGGCTCCCTCCTTCCACCGGTGAGGTCCTAGGCTCTGTCGAGCCACATGTCTTCTCCAATCCCAGACGTGCCACACATTGGCAACGAGTCTACGAAAGTGCGACATACGAGGGGAGACATCGATTCAATGCGGCATTGACATGGTCGGCGGAGGAAGAGAAGCGACTCAAGAAGAAGGTAACTACCTCTGAGCACCCAGACTCTTGAACACACCAAGTCGAAATCAGCGTCATGAGTGTAGACTTTCTCAGCTGATAACTATGTCAATCGTGACAGTTGGACTGGAAAATCATGACCTGGGTCTGGGTAATGTTTTCCAGTCTCGATTTAGTACGCAGGAATGTAAATCGTGCAGTATCCGACAACATGGTAAGACCCAGCCATCATTCCTAATCCAATGACAATCTGAATGATGGCCTGCTGAAGTGGCTCATCAGCTAGACGACCTGAAAATGAACACCAAGCAAGTAGTGGACAGCCCTTCGTACCGGAAAGCTTTGCTAATCCCCTCACGTGCAGTGATTACAACGCCGGTCAAACAATCTACCTCGTCTGTTTTCTTGCCGCTGAACTGCCCGGAGGCCTGATCAGCAAGAAAGTTGGACCATTCAGATACACTCCCACGATAATTACGATGTTCGGCGTGCTATGTGCGCTCCAGACGCTCATGAGCAACCGAGCTAGCTTCTGGGCTTTCCGAGGGCTTCTCGGTTTCGTACAAGGGGGCTTCATTCCGGAGATGGTGCTTTATCTCTCGTACTTTTACAAGACCAACGAACTCCCCATCCGCCTCAGTGTGTTCTATACAGTTATCCCCATCACATAAATCCACGGTGCCCTTTTGGCGGCCGGCTTTCTCGCCATGAGGGGCATCAGAGGTTGGGCGGGATGGCAATGGCTGTAAGTACAAGACCAAGCGACGAAGTTCCTTGTCCTCTGCATGTGTGTCTCCCTACTACAGATACTGATCCAGATAAAACCCCTAGTTTCCTCTTCGAAGGGCTAATCTGCGTGATCATCGGTTCTATAAGCTTCTTCGTCATGCCTCCTTCTGTCTGCGAGCCCGCTCGCGCGTTCAGGCGCCCCGACGGATCTAACAAGTGGTGGACAGAACATGAGGAAGAGGTCCTCGTGAACCGAATCCTCAGAGACGACCCTACGAAAGGCGACATGAACAACCGAACTGCCGTAACTTTCCACGGTCTCTGGACAGCGCTGACGACTGTGGACCTATGGCCCATTTTCCTCGTTGGCCTCTTCGCCTGGATTCCGTTCCAACCGACAGCCAACTACCTTTCAATCATCCTTCGCGACATGGGATACTCTGTCTTCAGGTCCAATATGCTTGCGATACCAAGCTATGCCCTATTCGCCATCAATGCAAGTATAGTCGGACCAAAAGTGCCCAAGCACAAAACACTAATCTCTGATGTTCAGGTTCTGATCTTTGGTTGGTTATCCGAGTATTTCAAAGAACGCTCCATCGTATCGTCCTGCAGAAATATCTGGATGCTTCCTTTCTTCATAGCACTTGTCGCTCTGCCCGAGTCCGCAAACCCCTGGGTCCGGTAAGACCCCACCCCAAACCACGGTCCACCCCCCACGACGGTCCACCGCGTTTTTCGCGTTTCTATATCCTATACCACATAACGCGCGATTTATACAACGCGTTATTTAACTATAATAATATAAAATAAATATTTTTAAAAATACTAATATATTTAGAATAATTAGTTATATTTATATAGATATCAATTTAGCTATTATATTAATTCTAAAAAGGAATTCTATCTATTTAGTAGTAAAATGTTATAAAATACTTATATTAAACTTTTAATACTAAATTAATACTATTATTATTATATAGAAATTAAATTTTTTTATAAAAGCCCAATAAGTATTAAGAGATATATTTAGTATTATAAATATTTACTTAGAATTAATTAGGTTTTATATTAAGCTATTAATAAGTTTAAAACTTTACTAAATAGATCTTCTAAACTAATAATAATATATAGCTATTTAAAAAAAAATAGCTAAAAGGTTTTTTGTATTATAACTTATTGATTAAAATGTTTAAATCTTAGAAGATTAATACTTAATATATTAAAATAATAAATAAAGAAATAATAAAAAAGCTTTTTAAGATTTTTATTTTTCTACTTATTAAATAGATCTTTATATTTTTCTAATAGAATATAAATAAAATAGAAATTACTGAACGAAAATAAAAACATTAATTAATATTAAAATACTTTAAAAAGCTTTTAATTTTTTTAAAGCGTAAAATATTGTATTTAAATATTAATTATTAAATATATCTCTATAGCTAACTAATATCTTAACTTATTTATAATATTTAAAAAGAAATTGTTTAATAATAATAATTTCTAGAAGATTTCTAGAAAATTTAAAATATAGTAGTTTATATTATCTAAAAGTACTTAAATATTAAATAATATTAATGTTAAATAGCTAAGAAAGATCTTTATCCCTTTAATATAAATAGAAGTTATTAGATTTTAATTAAAATATCTTTTTATTATTAATAGCTATGAAAGCTATATATTTAAGAATTTTATATAGAAATACTTTTTAGAAATACTTATTTAGTTTATTTATTACCATATTCTTTATTTTTATATAATTATTTAATATATTAGTATTCTTACTTCTTAAGAAAGCCTATTAAGTAAAGCTTATTTAACATAACTTTAAACTAAAAGTTATATTAATAAAACATACTAACTTCTTTTATTACTATTTATATATATAATAAATAATACTTAATATACAAATTATTAGACTTAAGTAGCTAATAATGAAGATATAGCTAGTTAATATAGAAAAACCTCTAAAAAATAAATTTCTATATTATTATGTAGAAATAGATATTTTATAAACACTTTGATAGTATAAAACATATTAAAAATATAAACAATATTTTAATAGATTAATATAATTACTTCTAAAAAGTTAGACGATATACTAAAGTTATAATAGCTATAGAATAAACGCTATAAATATAGTAATACTTAGAACAACTTTATAGTTTATAAATTATTTATATCGAAAATTAAAAAAATAGCTAAATCTTAATAATATAATTATTATAAATAATTAATAAATAATCTAATTATTATAAGCTTAAGTTAAATATTTTAAACTTCTCTAGAAAACTAAAGTTAAACTAGATCAAAATATAAGGTTTATAAACTATAAAACTATATAGAAAGTAAAATAGAATGTTAAAAATTATCTTAATAAACTAAAAAAATACTAATTAAAAGCTATACTTCTAATAAACGTATATATAAAAGATTATATATAGAGGTTATAAATGAATAGAGTTACATTATAATATAATAATAGGTTATTATTAACATAGTGCTTAAAATACATTTTTTGATATAGACTATCGTAGGGGGTAGACCATGGTTTGGGGTGGGGTCTTATGCCTTGCTCACTGGGATCAACTCGATCCCGTACACGCACTCCGTACTCGTCGGAATGGCGAGTCGCAATTCACGTAGTGTGGGCACTAGAGCGGTCGCAACAGCTGTGTACAACATGACGTACCAGATAGGCAGCATAGCTGCTGTCAACATCTATCGAGACGAAGACAAGCCGTACTGTAAGGAACATTCCAACTCTACAAAACTACTCTTCGAATTACTGACAAATTTGACTCAGATTACACCGCTAATAAGACTTTGATTGGGCTTTGTGTATTCAACATTCTCCTATTCATTGGCATGAAGCTGTATTACATCTGGCGTAATGATATACTTGAGAGGAGATACGCAGAGGCTTCAGAGGCAGAAAAGCAGACGGCTATCGATATGCGATTTGCCCACTAGCTCCAAAGACATGCGTTCACAAAAGTGTAAAATCAACAGATGGTCATGGGCCGTGTTATTTCAGTCAGCTTGTAGCAATACGGTTGACTTCTTGATTGTCTCTAATGCTAATCCCTCATCATCATCCTACTCTTGTCATGTTTCATTCTGAGTTCTTCCTCCATTCCAGCCTGTCATTATCGTTCTTGAGTCCTCGACCGCCTTTGGGACGTATTGCTACTCATCCTTACGCCTTCAAGAACTGCTCTAACTAACTTGCGATATCTTGCTTACAATTTACTTTTGATGGGTTCTTGGAATCGATAGACGATATCCTCAAAACGAGCCTCGGGGAAAACATAAAGCCAGTGCAGGGTCTCACCAGGCCCGCAGAAGACACCATGTACGGCATCCCCCGGTATCCACAGGATGGTCCCACCCGATACCGCGTGCCGCTTGCCATCGATCTCGACGCTTCCGGTGCCGGAAAGGATGTAATAGATCTCGGCCTGGGTGTGCTGGTGAAGAGCAAGAAAGCCCTTGGGTGGGCATGTTGCGAGTCCCGCACACATGGAATCAGTCAAGGTTTCGGGTCTCGACAGCAGCGTTTGCCAAGTGACATTGCCGTATAGGGGCTCGACGAATGCGCTCTCGGCTAAGTTGGTGATGGTCGAATGATCCATCAAGACCGGCGATAATGCCGTTCCGCTATCATGTCGCTTGTGCGAGCTGATTGGACATTAAGTCAGTCTGCGGACTAAAGATGCCTTCAAAACGGAGAGAAACCATGGAGACAAGCAACCGCAACAGCATGGGTAGGGGTCAGACGAACCAACAGGATTTCTCCATTTCGGTAGTGAAGGTTAGTGAGCGTTCAAAGGTGGAGAGCTTCCAAGGATGAGTGTTGACAGTTTCTGTTGACCTGATTAGAGGTATGACGAAGCCTTGTTCGATGAATGTCAGGACCCAGGCGTACTATGTAGCAAGGCAAGGAAGACCTTTTCCAATATGGGACCCCTGGCTTGTTGGTCCCGCTCTTTGATAAGAATAGTCATTGCCGGCAGATTTGACCTATTTGGGTAAACTTTGCCTCCGATGACAAGTATGTGGGAACAATGGCTGGATACATGTGCGGAGAGCGCTCTAGAATCTTGGCCCCCAACGGTCCGGGCGGACCGGCGACGATCCCTGGAACGTCTAAATTCATCGTCATCCGGGGCCGAGCATCCACCAGGAACACCCCCAGTTTAAGCAAGGGGGCAACAGACTGCATGCATTGATTTTCGTCTGCTTACATCGTATTTAAGTCGTCAATGACAATGGTGAACCTCCTGAAATATGACTCTGCCGTGTCTTACAGGCAATCCCATACCGCGCCAACACTCTACCCCAGACTTCTTCTACTAGTGAAGTACACTCTGCAACTTCCATCACCTTGGTTATTGTTACGTCCTCCTGCGCACCAGAAACCCCCAACACCATGGCGAACATTATCTCAGGCGCCGACATCTATGGGCCTGGATCATGGATCGATCACGATGCCCCAGCCGTCCCCGACGATGCGCTCCGGCTTTTTGAATCGCTTGCGGCGGTGACCCCAGGCTTCACGCAAGATAAAGAGATGTGGAAGTCTGTTTCGTTCCAAGGCTCGCCGCAGACAATCGCCCCTGGCCCACTCAAGTCTCCTGTCATTGCCGCGGCAGTGCACGCCATGTGCGGAGTGGTTGCCAACGAGCTCCTGGCCCTCCGAGACGGCGGCAGTCCTATCCGCCATGTTGGTATCAACACAGACCATGCTGCATTCTGGCTTGGGTGTGTTGGCATGGCCAAGCGCAACGGGTCAACCGTCCGAGAGTTGGCTAAACGGGGAGAGCTTGCGGGCATCTTCTCCAAGGACCTGGAGAAGGGCACGTTTGCAACGCCTCTGCGACTCCGCGCGACAGCCAACTATCCGACCAAAGATGAGGGGCTCTGGTACCAGCTCCATGGCTCGCTCGATGCGGGTCCTGTGCTGCAAGCCGTTGGCCTGGACGCAGAGACACCTTGCAGCGGGCTCGATGAAGCCTACAAGCTCATCGGCAAACACGTGCGGAAGTTTGGCGCTCACGAGCTGGAAGGCATCAATATTGAGCGTGGCCTCTGTGGGAGTATCTGCTATACTCCGGAGTCGTGGAGGCAGACGCGGATGAGCAAAGACCTCTCCAAACACCCTCTAGTAAACTACAAGTTGCAGTCACACGCCATCCCTACACCAGCGATTCCTTTGAGCCCCGGCTCCGACAAGCGACCTTTGGCTGGCATCAAAGTAGTGGAAATTGTGCGGATCATTGCAGGCCCAGTGATTGGAACGACGTTGGCGGCACTAGGAGCTGACGTTGTCCGCATCAACTGCAGCAGGCTACCAGACTTCAATGTAAGCACTGGTCTTTTGCACTCCAATCCTGGCATGAAAACGGGTTCTTTACATATGTTTACAAGTCACTCTGGCTATTAATCTACTGGCAAAACCATGCAAATGCTGACCTTTGATCGTAGTCTTTGCAACTCACGCTCAACGCCGGAGTTCGCACGTTGGACATTGACTTTGACAAAGAGGACGAGCTCCAGCACCTTCTCAGTCTCATCCAGGACGCCGACATCTTCGTCCAGGGCTACCGTTCAGGGTCCCTAGCCAGGAGAGGAATGGGCCTCCACGACCTCTTGGAGATAGCCGGAAAACGGAGCAAGGGCATCGTCTACGTCGAAGAGAATTGCTACGGACCAAACGGCCCCATGCACGAGCGCCCAGGCTGGCAGCAGGTAGCCGACGCCGCCTCTGGATGTTCATATGTCACCGGAAGAAGTCTGGGTCATACAGACGGCACTTGCGTATTGCCGGCTCTCCCTGTCCCAGACATGTTGACCGGTTTGATTGGCGCTATTGGGGCTATGATGGCTATAAGAGACCGCACGCGTCAGGGAGGCTCCTATCACGTCTTCGCCTCACTCATGGCGGCAGCCGCCATGCCCTTGCAGCCAGACGTCGGCCTATACTCTCCCGAAGCTGTGAAACAGTGCAATGAAAGATTCCAGTGGGGCGGAACTGGTCCAGAGCTATTCGTCCTAGAGCTGCTAGATGTTGTGCTTAAGGGATGGGCCGATGTGTTTCCCGACCACTTTGGGCCGGAATCGCCATGTTTCACCCAGCTGAAAGGTGAATGGGGCAATTTCGAGCTGCTCAAACCTGTTCTTAAGCTGGCAACTCCGGAAGAATCTCCGCATTGGTCTTCAGCACCAGAGCCCAACTGTCACCATGACAGCCAATCACTGTCATGGCTATGATGTTACAGCATCAGCGTAGTTCAATAATCGAGTGTTATGGAAGAAATTATTCACTACAAGTCGTACATAATCTCAAGTGCCATGATGAATATGTTCTAGGATTTCAAAGTGTCTATGCCTCGGCACCATTTGGTCGCCCGAAATGGCGGCGGCTCAAGATTGCCGAGTCGGGGTGGGAAAAACTACACGTATTTCCACTCCCACTCACTTGAATTCACTTCGGCCGTCAACTCCAACTTGCATCTGATCTCTGAATTTAGGATGTCGTATTCAAGGGCGATCATCATGACTCCAAGGGGCTCACGGTCGAAGGGAATCGACTAGCAGTGGCCTTCGGCTCGTATATTTCCTTAAATAGGCATACGGTCCCGAAAGTTACGATGATTTGGAAGTCAACTGCTAAAATGGGGGGATACCTTCACACGAAATCCTGATGCCACCAGAAAACTGGTCGTACCGTCCCCATTGGTAGCGGGTGACCTCGTGCTTTGTGTTTTGTGGACCCGGTCCGGCCGTCAAGCTCACACCACAATTACCACCCCTCCTGCCCTACGGATTGCTTGTCAGCGCGGCAACCCATGGCCTGTGTTTCCCATTGAGATCAAAGAGAAAGCAGTGGTGCCGATCTTCAGATTAATCGCGGAGGAGGGGTCTCCCCGCATCTGGACCAACAGAGAATCCCGTTTACGGGTCATGATACGGTATACCTCCTGAGGATATCTGACAAGGGAACCTGTCCATCGCGCTGACCACCTGAGGAATCTGCTGCACTCTTCATTAAATCCTCAATTCGGTTCAGGGAGAGTTTGTGGCTCTTTTAAGGAATCTCTTTCTCGTTTCAAAAACCAACACCGTTTCATTAGATTCTAGAGTTGCAATCACGGATCAACAACTTGCAAACTCTCAGCGAAGCACCTTCAAACCCCGCGAGTTTCTAGCCATTATGACCTTGCATTCTGATAAATACTAACGCAAACGAAGACATCAAGGGCAGTGACATGAAGACTGAACACGAGCACTGCGAAGATGCTGGAAGCGATGTTGTGGCTGGTGGCGGCTTGCATCGTCGCCTCAACAACAGGCAGATACAGCTTATTACCATTGGCGGAACCATTGGCACTGGTCTATTCGTGAGCATCGGGGCTGCTCTCGCCAAGGGGGGACCTGTGAATCTTCTGACCTGCTTCCTGCTCTATTCTTGTGTGGTGGCCCTCGTCAACAACTCCATTGCCGAGATGGTCACATATATGCCTGTTTCTGGGGGGTTTATTCGCCTTGCGGGCGATTGGTTCGATGATGCCTTAGGATTCATGGTCGGCTGGAATTTCTTCTTGTACGAGGCTCTTCTCATTCCCTTTGAGATGGTGGCACTGAATATCGTATTATCCTTTTGGGCTCCTGGCATCTCGGAACCTGGGCCTTTGGCTGGATTTTGTGTAGGGGTTATTGTCTCCTATGGGTAAGTCATTAGATTCTGGAAAATCTCCGACTAATGCCTATTCGATGCACTGACAATGCGAAAAGTATTATCAACCCCGTTGCGGTGAATATCTTTGGCGAAGCCGAGTTTTGGCTTTCAGCAGGGAAGGTCACTCTGGCATTCATGCTTTTCGGCTTTACAATCATCACTATGGCTGGCGGGAACCCTCAAGGAGATGCATACGGGTTCCGGAACTGGCACACCCCTGGTGCCTTTGCGACTTTTACTTCCACTGGAGACCTCGGCCGCCTTGAAGGGTTTATGGGCGTATTGATCACCGCGGTATTCATCATTGTCGGGCCCGACTATAACTCTATGGTGGCCGCTGAGGCAAAGCACCCCAGCCGATATATCAAGTCAGCCTTCAAGACAGTATACCTTCGCTTCGGTATCTTTTTTGTTGGAAGTGCTGTGGCAGTAGGGATTGTGATTCCCTACGATGATACGAAGCTACGAAGCATCCACATCGATGGTCAGGGCACCGGGACCTCCAATGCCTCGCCATATGTCATCGCGATGCAGAATATGGGCATCACTATCCTTGCCCATATCATTAACGCCTTGCTATGTACGAGTATCTACTCGGCGGGCAATACTTATACCCACTGTGCCGCTCGCTTGCTGTAGAGTTTAGCCCTCGAGGGTCATGCTCCAGCTTTTCTCAAGCGGGTCAAAAAGTCTGGCATCCCCATCAATTGCTTTGCCGTTACCATGGCCTTCCCGTTTTTGGCATTTCTACAGGCCAACAGCGGCTCTGCAAAGGTTCTGAGTACCCTCATCTCCGTCATTGCTGGTGGTTGTCTTGTCAACTATATCGTCATACTGATCACCTTTCTATCTTATCATAAAGGCTGCAAAGCTCAAGGCGTCGATCGCAGAAGCGGACCATATTATGGTTACCTTCAACCCTACGGTGCCTGGGTAGCTCTGGTCCTGAAGATAGCTATCGCATTTTCCAATGGATACACCGCGTTTCGCCCTTGCAATACCTCCGATGTCTTCGCCAACTATACCATGCAGCTTCTTGCACCTGTGTTGTACACAGGATGGAAGTTGGCCAAAAAGACACAGATCAAAAAAGCCCATGAGGTAGACCTTCAATGGGCTCGGTCAAGCATTGATCGGTATGAAGCTGAAGCACTGGTCAAGGATCCGCCTTCGAGCTTCTGGGGAGAGATGGCGTCGTTGATAGGCTTTGGCAAGAATAATTTGTAATCAGCGCCAAACGATGAGACGCTAGGCACTCGTTTGCCCAGTTGAGTGAGGTATCATGGAGAAGGGTTGGAGATTGGATTTGGCGTGAGGCGACGAACATCGGCAGAGACGCCTGATTTTGCAACATGTCCCTGGCGCGAATCGACGAGAAGCTGTTCAGGTTATTAATTCACTGCAAAAGATTGGACCATCTTCGTCGTAACCATCATTGTACTGCCCACCCAAAACAGAATCAGCATTGCAAGTATTTTTCAAGATACACCGCGTCTGTATACAACAAAATCTCGCTGAAGTATCCATTTCCCTCAGCTGCTAGTAGTCATCGCTAACTCAATACCTCATTACCTCATTCTTTTCTTTCAGCATTAAGTTCAACAGTGGTGAAATCGAGAGTGGTGGAAACACTATCTCAACGCCGAGCAAAGCGTATGTTGATTTCCACACCACATCCAACGGACTACCACCTTGCTCTGGGGTACGTCTACCGCACTCAGATGAAATCACTGTTTCCCAAAATAGAAGCCTAGATCTTACCCCCAGTAATGCACGTAATCCTGCTAAGTGACACGGGTGCCGGACCGTGTCCACCTTTATTCCCACCCCTCACACACTAGTGCAGATCAGCCCCCCAAGGCCGGACCGTACCCACTACGGCCGCCCGCCCGATCAGGCCCGCCTTATTCTGACTTGGGTCCGGTTGCCACGGGCCTACAACGGTATCACTTCGGAAACGTCGATTCGCTCTTAAAGGAACGAATTCAGTCAATGGAAACATGGATATGCCATGACCTCACACGAAGTCACTACGCAACCTTCAACATGCAAATGCGGCCGTCAACGATCTCTTGGAGGTCCGTCCTCCGCCAGCAACCCTGCAGACATCAGCTTGGACGCCATCGCCAGTTGGGCTCCGCGCGAATGGTGACCAGCGGCGCCACTGACAGAACCAACACTATCGGATTCATCGGCTTGGGAGCTATGGGGAATCATATGGTGAGTACCTATCCGCAAGTATTTCCGTCTATGCTTCTAACGATTTTTGATCTAGTTCAATAACCTTGTCAACAAATCTACGGAAAAGGCAGGCACCAGTGCTAAATACGTGCTATTTGATGTCAACGATGCTGCTGTGGAAGGCGTCATCCAGCGGCACCAAAAAGAGAACCCAGCTGTGTCTGTACACAGGTGCTCTCGTAAGTCTTGATCCAGAATTGATGCAGGGAATTATAACTCCTCAACTCACTTGTCCCTTTTGCCTTCTTACAGCCCCATACGACGTGGTACAGAAGGCTTCGACGATTATTACAATGGTGCCCACAGGTCGGCACGTAGAGGACGTTTATTTCGGTGACAGCAGCGTTATTCACGCCTTGGAAACGTTGGACGAGCAACAAAGATCGTCGACTTTGTGTCTTGACCAGTCCACCATCGAGCAAAGCGTCAGCAGGTCTGTCGCTCTGAAATTGAGGGAGACTGGTGCCGACCTATTGGACGCCCCCGTGTCTGGAGGTATGTCATTCTGCCCCTTCACCTTCTTATCTACCTTGGAATCTACATTATGTTGACTGACATGTTTGTAGGAGTGATCGGTGCTAGAGATGGTACTCTCGCGATAATGGTCGGCGGCAACAAGAGATCGTTTGAACGAGCAGTTCCTTATCTCCAGCCTATGGCCAGAAAGGTCACATATTGCGGTGACCTTGGTGCTGGTCTTGCAGCGAAGATATCCAACAAGTAGGGGAACTCGCCGTGTCAACTTTCATTTGAAAACTGTTCTAATCATTCCTTGAATTTACAGTCTCTTGCTAGGGATCACTATGCTGGGTCTAAGGTAAATGTATTCCTGCCTGCAGTTGATGCAGAGTGAAAATGGTTTCCATCCAGAAACTAACGCAAATCTACTCAGCGAGGCCATGCTGCTGGGCAAGAGGCTCGGTGTTGATCCTCAAGTTCTCGCAGATATCATCAATAATTCAACGGGGAGATGTTGGTCTAGTGAGGTAAGTTCTTCTGGGTTAGGTTTGACCGGATGTTTTCGATGGAAAGATTAATCCGCTCTATCACTGGTTCTTGAGACAAGCTTGGCGTTGGATTCAATATTGCACGGGTGGTAAGCTAAGAATTCTTCCAGATCAACCATCCCGTTCCGGAAGTCAAGGTAGGATATACCAGCCCTCCAGCCCATCGTCAATACACGGGAGGCTTCGTCACCAGTCTAGCGCACAAGGATCTGGCCCTGGCTGTGAAGGCTGCTGTGGAAGTGAACTCGCCACTGCCGCTTGGAAGACGTGTTGAGGAGGTTTATCGACCCCTTGCTCAAATGACGGAATGGGGAAGTCGCGACTTCAGTGTTGTCTACGAGGCACTCGACGAGGCGATAGTTGGGCATGCCACTAAGAAAGTCGAGCTGTAAATAGTACAGCCACTGCGTAATGTTCTGATGTTGTTCGCTACAGAGACTAAGCAACTGCGCGAAATACCTATGTCTAACCGCGAGATGATTGATTTCAAGATGTGGTGGCAACTACCTAATTACTAAAGTTTTCTCGCTTTTCGCGACAAGCCGCCAATGTTGAAGACTTTGCTCCAATACTAATAAACAATTGCCACTGGTCCCGCGAGTGTTCTTCTACAAAGGATTCGGAGTTAGCGGGGCTATTTGATCGCCTGGCACCCCAAAGAGGTCCGTCCACGAATCAAGCCATATGCTACTGAGGTCTTGGTTGTTATTCAAAGCTTCTTCGCTCACTGTGCTTGACATGGTGTTGTAGTCAACGACAGCCCACAAGGTCTCTTCCTCGGCCAGAGTAATGTTAGCTCTTTGGAGCTCACTACTACACAGACTACCCCCAAGGAAACCATCATACACCATCCGTCTAAGCACTGTTGCCTGTATAATTGTGAGCCATTGGTCATCTCATGGCGGGAAAGAAGCAATTACAGCACTGCAGAGCCGGGAGTGTAAGGGGTTACGCACCATAGAGGAGACATTGTTCCAATGACGACCCAGAGTGTCGAGATACGACAAAGCCTCTTCAAGCAGAACTTGAGCTCTCTGGCTCACGGCTAAATCTGAATCATCAGTTCTCAAAGCGATGATAGAACCGGCAACAGTCGCGCAGTAGCCGCTAGAAGAGGAGTGAAAGGAGCACCCCAGCCCGCGAGCGTCCCGTATGAGTGCTAGCATATGCTGCGCATGCAACCATCCTAGGTCAGATGATCGTGTCAGGAAACTCGTTGGGGCCAACGTGCGGCACGTATCAATCCGGCGCTTGAGCAGGAAAGGGTGATTAAGCAGGCAGTAGCAGAGGTGATAAAATGCCCGAGAGAAGATAATCGGGCCAGTGGTGTGGTAATCCACGACTCCATCAGCACTAATGTACGGAGCCAGAACCTGCTGTAACGGTTGTTGGATCCTCAGGGATGACTCAAAGTGGAGGAGATCAGACTCAAGAGCAGCGAAATCGGAGCTTCGATCCCAGGGAGGATGAGGACTGCGGATGTTGAACTCCTGAAGCATGTACTGCGCACTCCGTCCCAGGATCTGGGCCATGGCAATGACATGGGCGAAGGAGCCTTGACTCTGAGGGACTCTCAAGGCCCGGTTTGTCATCTCGTCAAGAGATTGTGTCTTGCTCCAGACCTCATTCTTCCAGACCACCTCTTCGCATGGTAACTGCAGGTGGCAAGACGCATCGACGATGGCTGGTGGACGACCGCGTCCGCAAGACACCAGTCGGTCCAGGAGATAGACAGACCAGAAGACGCGTCGGCGTTCTTCCTGTTCCACATATGGAAGATGTGTTGCGTTCTCCAACATGAGTCCACAATCCTGTGCCATCCTCACAGACATACCTACCTTAACCCATGCCGAACCGTGACGCGACCTGCCAGCTGCTCTTGCCGTCAGTGTTCTGCCTGTTGTCCTCTCGCTTAAGGGGAACAAGTAACAAGCTCCAGTATGAGAGCAACCACTCACCAGTGAAGTCAAACAGACCCAGAAGAGCCACCGTCTGTACTGCGGATATCTCCGTGCCAGTGCCCTCGGTGAAGCAATCAGAAACAATCAGCTTCCAGGCCCGATTAGCACAGTCGACCGATGCTTCGTGCACGCGCCCCGCGAAGTAGGGATGTGAGCAGAAGCGGCCAGCTGTAGCCACTATAGTCAGCAGCAGATGTGTAGGGACGGTTCTTTCTGACAACCGGCGACGGAAGTGCGCTTCATGGAAAAAGGAATAGGGTTGATTGTGGCAGTAGAAGAAGTACGCATCCACCGCGGCAGCGACAACGTCTTCGGGCACGCCAACATCCATGGGTGCAGGTGCCTCCTGCTCTGTCACCACACCCTGACCCTGATTTGAGGCGAGGTTCGGCGCGTCGGTGCCATTCCTAGGATTGCGCGCGGCATGAGATGCTTGTACGCTGCCTGAAAGATGCAGGTCGAGAAGGGATGTCAGGCGATCCTCAATACTATGAAGTTGACCATGTGAGCTTATTACATTATGAAAAAACGTCAGGGTGGTAGCTCACGTGCTAAGTCGAGCTGTCACATTCTCCATCTTGTTGTCAAGCATTGACAGTCTCCTCAACACAGTTGTCTGAGAGCCTCGTTAGAGAGACAGATGGGAGAGGCTTGGTTTGGCTGGACATCATCTTCCACTCACGGTGGCCTCCCGAGAAGATGCGTCGGGCTCAACGTGTGGCTCGGAGTCCAAGGAACGCTGCCAAGGGTTCTCTTCACCGTAAACGCAGTCTATTTGGAGGAGTGTATTAGCATGATAGGACAAGTACCGGAGTCTGGAATACGGCCATGGCTAACCTAGTCCCAACCGACGACAATGACCACAGACAGGTCGATCTCCGGTGCACCGACATTTCTTGCGTCTAAGTAAAGTCAGCCAGACTATAAAGTGCATGCCATGTCGTTATCTCTGCTTCCAACGCGGCCTCTGCATACTTACCGGCACTGAAGACATGCCTGAGCGATTCGTTGCACCGGGAAGAAGTCACCCCCCGCATTCATCTGTGCTGCTTGTATACTGTGCGGGATGCGGGAGGTGGTGGTCTGTGAACGGAAGGGGAAGGAGAGCGGGGTGAGTGAGTTGCGAGTTGCGAGTTATTGCTGGTTGGTGTATCTAGCTCGGCTTCAGCCACTTTAGTCATCAGCTCTAGCCGGGTAAAGGGGAGTTAGATACGGCAGTTGACGCACTCCAGGTGTTGATCCATTGCGCCCCACTTTGCGAACGTTGTAAACCGTGAACTAACCTAACCCAACTGTCTCTCAGTTTCCTGCTTCATTCTCCCGCTCTGGGTTACTGTAACCAATTCATCCTCCAGTCAAGCATTTGTCGTTCAAAAACAAACGCATATAATTTTTGTAAGACGGACAACGGTTGATCTCAGAAACAACATCAGGATGTTCTGAAGATATGCTCCTCACAGAGTCCGGACCGAACGTTCCCGCTCAGAGTATTGCCTGTTTCAAAGAGTTGTCAATCCTGTAAAGACATCATAACTCTGAGTTGATCATATGTGTGGGGTTTCGGATATCCGAAAACGGCTCGGTCTTGACATGCGATTTCCTTCGAAAAAAAAATAAAGGTGGAGAGCTTCGTCTCCACGCCTCCTACAAACCACGCCAGATGGGGACGTATGACACATCTAATTCAATTACTGACAACGAGACAATAATTAGAGGGCAAAACATCGTGTTGTAGCACAAATAAGCCCTTGCTTCCCTCGCCAAACAGCTCATGAAAAGTAAGCTGAAATTGACGTAATCGTTTCGCCCTCCACAACACAGAAGACTCATCCAATGACCTTTTTTTTCCTTGGCAAGGTCATTTTTCGTAGGTTGTCATGTGCTCATCAGCCCTGACGATGAAGAATGCTCTAGTCAAACGGCAGTCTTGTGAAGGTCACCCACCCACCGTGACTCGCGAAATTCCACTAGGCTCGGAAACCGAGGAATACTAATTGTGCACTACGGGCAAATTGTTAGTAAGCGCCAAGTGCAGCGAAATATATTCTCTCTCACCTTTTTGGCAATTTGGGAGGCTTTTTCCACCGAGTTCTCACGATCCTGCTACACCACTCACCCACGCAATGAAGTCGCCCATCCCCGACTATCTCAAACGCGTACTTGAGAATGCCCGCCCCAACGACGATGGAGCACCAGCAGACTACATCGATGTGCTAGCGAAAGCGGACACCTCCAAGATGGCAGTGGCTCTGGCCATGGTTGACGGCAATCTTTACTCGGCAGGAGACGACCGGGTCGAATTCTCAATCCAATCGATTTCCAAAGCCTTTGTCTATGCGCTGGCTATCGAGGACGCGGGATTGTCGCGGGTGTTGGAAAAGATTGGCGTGGAGCCGTCCGGCGACGCTTTCAATCGGCTCTCGCTCGAACGCGGCAGCAATCGGCCCATGAACCCCATGATCAACGCCGGAGCCATCACGGCACACACACTTGTCGTCTCGCCTAACGCTACGGTGGAGCAGAGGACGGAACGTATCCTGAAGACGTTGTCAAGACTCGCAGGCCGGGAACTTCACGTCGACGAAGAGGTCTATCAGGCCGAACTCAAGGATGCGGATCGCAACATGAGTATCGGATATATGCTAAAAGCAACCGGCATCATCACCTGCGACCCGCGAGACGCCGTGAAGGGTTACATTCGCCAATGCTCTATCAATGTCAATGTCAGGGACTTGGCCCTGATGGCAGCAACCCTCTGCAACAGCGGTGTGAACCCCATCACTGGAGACCATATTATCCCCCAAACCAGTGTCCGTCAGGTTCTCTCTATCATGACTACCTGCGGAATGTACGATGCTGCAGGCGACTGGGTTTCCAGGGTCGGCATCCCGGCGAAGAGCGGCGTGGCGGGCGGCATCCTCGGAGCTCTACCGGGCCAAGTCGGTCTCGCAGCTTTCTCTCCCAAGCTTGACGGGCGCGGAAACAGTGTGAGGGGCGTCATGATCTGTGAGCAGTTGTCACGGGACATGGGCCTGCACATGATGGACGCCAGCCAGGTCGCCGGTGCCACTGTGCGCACCTCAGTAGCCACAATCGTTGGGGGTAAGAGGGATCCGCATCATCCGAACTGCCAACGAAAAGTCGTTATCTTCAGTCTTCGAGGCGCTGTTCGATTTGCGGGGTCAGAGCGTCTTACCAGGACTCTTGCGCGTGAGCTGAGTGAGCCGGACCCGGATGACCCCGGCTCTGGAATGCATGCCAATGCCTGTGCCGTGGTATTCTCATTCCGTGACACATACTCACTAAATGCCATTGCACAAAGGATAATTCGTGAAAATATCCGACGGCTGATTTTGGATGGGCGGAATGTAGTGGTGGTCGACCCATCTGGGGTTCTGCAGATGACTATAGATCCTGAGAGTAAGGAGGAGCAACCCCATGTGTCCAAATCAGAAACTGAAGCACGGGAATTCATTGGAGGCTTGGGTTGTCAAGCGGTATTCAAAGATGATAGTTGGTGACTATCCGACCATGGATGGTTCGCCTCAATAAAAGCATACCTGTCTGGGTTGTTTTGTTGTCATAAAACAGAATAAAGTTTATGCATTCTGTACTCTATTTTTTGCCAACTACTAGTTGGATAGTGTTGATGGTACTTCCAATGTCTGATGTGTATGCTAAAGATGGGCCTTTGATATGTCACCAGAGGTTCAGACAGCATCGTAGGGAATATCCACAACTCCGACAACCACATAGTTGTCAAATCCCGCCTGCATTTGGCCAGCATTCGAAAGCATCAACTTCTTCGTTCCGTTGTTATTGATCACTTCAATGCATCTCGAATGTGCTGCCCATTGTCCCACGTCAACTTCTTTCCATCCCGCTGGATTCGCAGAATCCTCATTAACGAAAAGTTGTTCTCTGCTAGCACCGTTCATGATAATGATGCCTGAGCCATCATCTTTCTTTTCGTTGGGAGTCCAAATGACGTATGGTGATCCCCCGGTAGTATGGCCTTCGGCGGAAACAATTTTGTCCCCGCGGCCTTCAATAGTGCCAAACGTCAGGGGCGAGGAAGAGACCTTGTAATACCCTTCGCAGCCCTCATTCGTCGCGCAAACTTCATACGTGATGATGTACTGGCCCGTAGACTGAATGTGTGCCACCGTGGTCATCCCTGGGCGGTCGTCGTATGCCGACGAAGCAACGTCATCCACGGGTTCGCTCCATATCTTGAGATCTTTGGTCGTGATATGTGCAAGTTTCTGCGCATGATTCTCATCTCTCTGATCAGAGAAGAAGCACACAAATTCGCCCTCATGCATCATGAAGAATGGCTCCCATACTGCATCGTTGCCGTTCGTGGTAGTCTCGGGCCCTGCGCCATATACCATGTGACTGACAAATTCCCAGTTCAATCCCCCATCTCTACTGGCGTAAAGATCGAGATAAGCTTCGCTCAGGTCCGCCGGAACAGAAGCTCCCCCAAGAAGAATGGTTCCGGCAGGATATCCGCCAAACGCTTCTTTGAGAAGGTAGAAGTTGGGCTGATACCGCAGACCCCATCCATTGACTTGATCAGACACAGACGAAAACTCGATCCAGTTTGCGCCTCCGTCGGTTGATTTGTAAATGGGGAAGTTGGCTTGCGGAGGTTCGGGTGGATAGTTCTCCCAGGATAGGAGGTGACTACCATCAGGTAGCTGGACAGTGCGGGCGTAGATGACCTTCCAGCTGGTGTAGTTCCTATCTGGGTAGAATACTAGGTTGTTGGTGAAGTCGCTGAAAGGTGCAGGGGTGGCTCGTTGAACCAGATTTGCCAAGCCGCGGGGTGGCGCTGCGGTCGCAAATGTGACGAAGAGATGAAATAGAACTGAAAGCAATTTCATGATGAAGCGCTGGATCAACGACAGTCTCCAAGATCAAATCCGCTATTGCCTCGACTGTCCTTAATCATATTGTCTTAATCATTCACATTAACACGAGTGCCGAAGCCTTTTATAACTAACAACCAGAATAGGTGAACACATTGGAGATTTCGGTAGCTGCAGACACTCTACGGCTCTGGCCGTCTCTCAGAAACCCAGACCACGCACTATTCGTGCGGCTAACACAGAATCTTGGGAAGCTACCCCAGATCTGGTAATATGATGTCTATGTTGGGTGCAGTGCGGGGAAATTACCCTCTAATGCAACGCTGATCCGCCGGATCTTGCCTCTATTCGGGATCATAGTTCGACGTCGGACTGGCAGTCCGATTCTGAAGTTCCCACACTGGCGCTATTCCATGCCTTCCTAATCCGATTCGACCGCATCAATAGTGATGCAACATTGTATTTCTGTCAACTCGGGTCGGATTGAACGTCACATGCCGCCGAAACATACATGTACACTGAACATGATCCGATAATTTGGCGGGTTTCCGAAATTTCTTTAGCCTTCATTAACAGTCCATATTTGATTCGTTTTCATATCTCCTTTGTCAACCTCTGCTCCTCTTCCATGACGGCCTGTATGGAATCAAGAGAGATAAGCTCCTGTCCTTGCTCCTTTGACATGGGCAATAGCGGTCTTCGAGGTAGCTCACTATGTCCCAATACCATATGCACAAGCATTTTCAACCCGGCGATCTTCGGTCTTGTCAGTTTTCTTCCCTCAAGACTGGTAAGAATGATCACTCACTCCTATGCGTTGACACACTCCATCCGCCATAGCCAACAAACCTTGAATACGCTGAGCCTCATTGTAATCCTCAGAGCCTGGAGATGAGCCACATAGTTGCCAGAGCTTGACACATGTTTTCTGCGTGATTCTAAGCCAACTTTTCGGGGTATCAAGATGCAAGTGACTTACAGGAGCAAAGTTTGGGAGACCTGAGATAGCCTACAATGACAACACGGAGAAGATTCTTAGTCCAATTCAATTACATCCTAAACACTGAATCTTACCCCAGCAGCTCCGCTCGCTATCGATGGCAGCAAGATGTCAATGAAGCCATCGATGATCTTGAAGTTGTCCCCGTGACGACGACGTGGGTAGGCTTCCATGAAGGAAGGTGCGGACAGCACTGCATTGATTCTTGTGATCTTACCAACGGACGCGCATCTTTCCCCAGTAAGTATCGCAGATAATACACAGATGTCACAGATGTCAGGATTATATACTCACGTCAGCTTGACTCCGACGACATTGTTTGATCCCTTCACAACATCGACAATTAGGTCACTGTCCAAATCGATACCCCCTGACACGGCAGGAAAGTTGTAAAGAACCACTGGCAGCGGGCTTGCTTCAGCGACATCAATGAAGAATTTCGTCAGAGCAAGTCTTCCTGCCGGACTTCCAAGCTGGCCACCGTAGTATCCTGGAGGCAAGACCATAGCATAGTCGGCGCCTGCCGTTTCGGCCTTTCTGGCAAGTTCAATGGTTTCGCGGGTGCTTGGAGCCCCGATACCGGCCACGATGGGGACATGCTGTAAATCTCCTTCGTTGAGGCTAGCTCGAGCAGCCTGGATCAGTTGCGTGCGCTCTTCGGCGGATAGATGAGGGGCCTCGCCGGCTGAGCCTGCTACCACTGGAATGGTGCCCGCCGCAGCTACGTATCGCACGTGAGTTGCAAATGCATCTAGATCCAAATCTTCGTTGGGAAGGAAGAATGTAGGAAGAGGAGTGTAGATACCCCGAGGAAGGGGTCGGTGCGAGATAGAAGCCATGTTGCTTGAAAATGATGCAGCTTCAGTAGTAAACCCAGTTGCTTGCTGTGTGAAGAGACAAGGAGGCAGGACACGAATCATACAATCGGCAATCACATGACACTTCTGCTTGCACCTGATAGTGCTGTCGCCGAGCCTCCCGCCGAATCGCCGAGAAAACCCACATATCGCTTGGTGTCTCGCTGCAGAGATGCCATACATGAAGTGTTTAAGCATTCAATCCTGATTTGTGAACATGACCTCCAGGTCATGTTCCAATACGTCGTTTCAGACAACGATGTCATGGAAAAGCAATTCCGTTACACAGAACAGTACCGAAACGTATTCTCATGCGCCCTAGACTACATATTAGAAGTGAACAATAGTGATACACAAAAGCCGTACGATGGTAAGAGTTTATATCTCAATTGCCCCTCCACATACAATATCATGGATCTAGTAATGGGTTTGATTCAACCTGCTTATACTGCTGTGCGGTGTTCAACCCTACAAAGTGTAACGATATAGAGGCGAATTCTCTTCCATACTGCTGAGCTCCTCCGGGCTATATTCGGTGAGAATGCGATCATGGTCCAAAGTGTCCCTTCTCTCATTCTCTCTCCGCATGAGCCACCAATGAATAGTAGCCGGAATCATTGCCCCTAGAACAGTTGCCCCAACTGAGAAGCCGAAACCCAAAGGATAGACAGGCGCTTGTTCCTCCAGATAGATATTGGAACCAATACCGCCACCACCAACAGAGCCAAAAAGCATCAAAAGTCCGATGGAAGCAGCCCTCTTGGAAGGGTTGGGAATATTGTTGGAAGTCCAAGCTCCGACAATCGGTGCCTGAGCACTGTAACCAGCGGCTGCGATGAATATCGCAAAGTATGACACCCCTGAAACTTGCGGAAAGTGAACACTGATCCACAAGATGACGATTCCGGTAAGGCCAACAGCATAGCATGCCATTATCGAGGCATAACGCTTCTGAAAGTGATCGCTCATCCAACCGTTGAAGATGCACACAATGGTGGCGAAAACGTAAGGTGGCGTGGTCAAGGCCTGGGCGCGGATGGCTGAATATCCCAGGTTCTTCACCATCGTCGGCAGAGTATACGACAAGGAGTATGTTGGAATGGAACCTCCCCACCAGAACATCATCATCATGAGCCATGTCTTGCGGTCGCGCGCAGCTGCCCAGACGTCACTCCAGCGGAACTCGTAGGTAGGAGCATCCGGACCAGACGCGTACTTCACTCGCAACTTGGCGTAATCCAGCTCAGTGGCGGTGAGCCAGCTAGTCTTGCGAGTCTCATTGTACTGGTGGGGAAAATGACTTCAGATCGTGTTAGCAGGACGATGTGGAATTCTGAGCAAAAATACTTACGGAAGAAAGAAGATGGTCATGAGGCCAACAGCAATAGTGATGACACCTTCTATCAAGAACAGCCACTCCCAAGCAGTGTAGCCATGAGAACCATCGAGATGACCAACGCCATACGCGATTACACCTGAAAAGGCGCCAGCTGCAGTATTTGCGCCGTAGAATATAGCCATGCGCGTGGCAAGCTCTTTAGGCGTGTACCACATACTCAAAATGAAGTAAGATCCGGGGTACAAACCGGCCTCGGCGATACCGAGAGCGAGTCGAATAGCTATGAATGCTCCGAAACTGCGGCAAAGACAGGTCAAGGTCGTGATTGTACCCCAAGTTACGATAATTATAGGGAACCAAATCTTCGGCCCATGACGCCTCAGAAGAACATTCGAGACAGGTTCCCATAGACCGTATGAGAAGAAGAATACCATCAAGCCCAAATTGAATTGGGTTGATGTCATGTTGGCGTCTGTAACGAAGCCGAAAATCTTGGCGTTGCCCGCATTCGACTTGTCCAGTGAACACAACAAGTAGAGAACACTCAGAGTAGGGAGAAGACGCCAATCGACTGCAATCAGTCAGTTGATCAGTCAGTTGATCATAGGGACACTAAGTCTAAGGATCGCATTAATACGTACGCTTCTGCAAGAGTCTTTTTCTCCCAGCACCCTCAAATTGCCGATGCAAGTCCAAGTACCTCTCATACTCAGAGTTTGGAGAGTTTGCCTGACCCTCGGCCACACTAGCTTTTGACGAAGGAGACTTTTGATCTGGTGTTTTCTTTTCGACATCCTCGATTGAGGATGCGTCGTGAGGTTGAGCGCTCATGGTGAAAACACCAAGAATTGGTCGGAGAATGGAACAACAAGCAAGCGACAACGAGAAACAACAATGTCGAAAAGTTGAAAGTTGGCGTTTGAACCGGAAATCAGAGCGGCAGATCGAGACAACTTACATGGCGCTATCTGCAAGAGATTGTTGTGCCCCGCTGATCCTCTGTTGATAACGACAAGCAACCGGCTTGGCCGCATCGGCGACTCGGCGCCTCGGCGTTTTGAACTCACAGTCTCGGTGTCATTGCTATCAGCGCGACAGCTAGAACTGCCACATTGGCACCGACCATCATCCAAGATGCTTCGAGCCAATCGTCAATGGTCTGATAAATTCCAGCCCTGTGGTTCTTAGCCCGACCGAGGCAATCCGGAGTAGGTATAAGTAAAGCCTGACTGATAGCACAGGATCTTCCCCGCCATCTTATCCATCTTATCTCACAAACTTCCACAAAATTGACAAAGAGCGAACCGATACGGAAACAATTACCCGGTTGCCGTACTCATCTTATTCTACAATACCGAACCCAAGGGGCTTCAAGAACCTTGCTACCATGGCGCCCTCAGCCACGACTACATCACCCGTCCCCGGCCCTGCAGAGCTTCTGGCGACCAAGCTCGTCACGCGACCCGTTAAGGAAGATGGATCCGCACTGTATCCCGAGTTCATGCCCTTCTATAACCCTCTGGAGAAGGTAGAAGACATCGGGTCTTTCGAGCACTTCGACCCCGGGCACCGCGCTGACCCAAAGCTCCCCAATCTTCTCTCAACAGCAACCAAGGTCATTGACCTGTCGCCCCATGTTGGCACCGAGATCGAGGGAGTCCAGCTGTCGCAGCTGTCAACTGAAGGACTGGATGAACTCGCGCTTCTCGCTGCCAAGCGTGGTGCCTTAGTCTTTCGCAACCAGGACTTCCGCGACATCGGCTTCGAACGCCAGAAGCAAATCGTACGCCACTTCGGTCCACTGCACATCCATGGATGGGCGCCACACCCTGCTGCTGGCTCTGAGGAGCACATGATTATCTACGATCACAAAGAGGATCTACGTGTGCGCAAGTCTTGGAGGGGTCGCAGCCCCGTGCAATGGCACACCGACCAGTCCCCCGAGCCTCAGCCCCCTGGTACCACCTTCATCTGCATGCTCGAGTCACCCTCTGCCGCTGGTGGTGACACACTTGTGAGCTCTAGCGTTCAAGCTTTCAAGGCCCTGTCACCGAAGTTCAGGAAGAGGCTGGAGGGGTTGACTGCTATCCACTCCAATAATGATGGTGTCACCCAGGAGCTGAAGAACGGCCAAAACGCAGTCATGAGGAGACAGCAACTGGTTCAAGAACACCCTGTCGTCATCGTTCATCCCGTCACCAGAGATAAGGCACTATGTAAGTTGACTTCAGGAGGACACAATACGATATTTGCTGACAAGGACTTAAAAGATGTCAATCCCGTTTACACGAAGAAGATCGTTGGGTTCGACCAAGAGGAATCTGATTACCTCCTGAACTTTTTGTTCGATCACATCGCTAAGAGACAAGATTTCCAGTGCCGTGTTCGCTATGAGGCTGGTACCGTTCTCATCTGGGATCAGCGTGTCACGAACCACTCTCAGACCCTTGACTACCCTGCTGGTGAGCGCAGGCATGCTTTCCGTCTGACTCCATTGGCGAATAAGCCTATCCCAGCAAAGGTTGAGGAGGACGATGGTGAATGTGAGAAAGACTTCGGGCGGGTATCTCTTGGACTCTGCTAGAAGATTGGGAAATCATCTCTTCGTTGTACAGTCTTTGCGAGCTAGAATGTGAACAAATATTCGTCTGAAAATTCGGGGGTATGCCAGTGATGGCTTTGCCACTGTCTCCAAGAGTCGAGAATCGCCCCAGTACTATTCAAATCCCCAGGTTCATTCGTATCTTCTGTGGCACCCCAGGCAGACGGGTCATTTAACTCGTCAGGTCTTCTTTGGCTTCCTTCCATTACCTCTTCGTTGTCTTTTGTTGTGTGGTGGATTGTTGACTGTTGTAGAGCGTCCTCTTGATTTTCAGGGTCCTCGTTGGACAAGTGCGAAACGCCGTGACTATCTTGAAGCTGGGAATTGATTCGCACTGAATTTTCGAAAAAGTGCAGGATAGACTTTGCATTAGGCCAGTACTCCGCGAGCTCTTTCAGCGACACCAGGGCTGAATCGTATCTTCTAAGAGCCGAGATGGCAAGCAAGGGGTTCGAAATGCGTATTTCGGTGCTTAACTGAACTAAAGCCGAGAATAAACAGTTTATGATTGACATCCAAAGACATCGTATGCCATCAGTTTGGCATAAGGTGTGGAAGAGGGATTGGATCACTCCTGCAGCAGCCACGCATATCTCGCCATTTTCATCGCGCTTAGAACTTTCCACGCCACTAACGTCTCGAGATGGAGCTTTTGGAGGGTCCCTATGAAGAAGGATGAGAGCCATGTTGTAGTGTAGATGCAGATTTGTTTTCCATACACCGGCTCCTAGGGCACCATGGAGATTCAGTGACTGTGGCAGCCTCAACGCCCAGCTGGCCAACCTCTCATCGGTTTTGCGCAAAACGATGCGCCTAGCCTCGTCACTTGAAGCGCGATTTCTCTCCCGCATTGCTTTCGATACTATGATAGCCAGTTCAGACATTTGAATGAGGCTTTCAGGCTGTGCATCTGGCCCGCACTCATCAAAGTCTGATACTTTCAGCTTCTGCACATTTGAGTCCTCGAGGTGGATTGACTGTGGCCGCCCGTATTGGAGCGAGATCCATACATCGCTTTGGAAGAGCAGCCACCATACTCGTCGCCACATGCGCTTGTTGTGTTGGACTAATGTACTGCTCTCTGCGTCACGATGCATTCCCAGGCCGGTGGCGATGCGAACAGCTATTCCAAGCCAGTACCATGCATTCGCTGTCGCGTCTTCCAATCCGTCTGTGTGCCAAGTAAGAAGCAAAGCCGCTTGGACAATGGTGTCGCGATTTGATTCGAACCTAGCATCCAATAGGCTTTTGGCACGACGAAAATAGGTTGCCTTAGCGAGATGTCTCTTTTCGGAATCCTCTTCGTAAAGGGCGTGGCTACCAACAAGAAGGATAGCGTAGAGAAGTAGAAGTGAAGGCGGATTCAAAGAATCTCTAGCTCGATACTGGCCCATGAAGATACGCTCATCAACCACGGGGAACCCCGGGTTGACGTGTCGGAAATAGGCCTCCAGAAGTTCGTCTACAACAGCTTTTGGTGGCAATTGAAATGGGTCTAGAGGCAGTCGATCCACCGGATCGTGACCCGCCACTCGCCGTGAGATGCGATTTGTTGGGTAATGGCAGACCTCAGATGTGTGAACAGCAGCTCCGAATTGCTGTTGAACGAGATAGTTGACGTTCGAAACATCTGTACCAATGTAGGTCATACGGGCTTTGTTGTCGATTGGGCGATTTACAAGCTCAGGCTGGTCAATAAACTCAACCAGATGTCGCTTATAAAGATATTCGCCATCTTCTTGTGCGTGTATGTCGATTCCTGTGACGCCAAAGCCGACTGATCCAGGGGTTGATTGAACTGGTCTCTGGCCTTCCGATTGTTCTGTTACAGGCGAGGTTGGTGAGCCCCCTTTCTCAGCAGCAACAGTGATAATGCCGTCCGCCGTTGAGAGAATGGCCGTACGCGTTGGCGAAGTAGGCGGGCGTCTTTCAACTTCAACTGAAGAGTGCGAAGAACGGCGAGCTGTAGCTGCTCGAGATACCCGTTTGCGTTTCTGATGAGGACGACAGTCATCCCGAGAGCCTGCTTGACAATTTGAACATGGGATTCCAACATCATGAGCGTCGCATTTGACCTTCCGATGGTGGCAAGTGCTGCAAGCTGCTCTTGCTGGTATGCAGGTCAGTCTTTCGTCCGCCTTTTTGTCTCCGCAGCGAATGACTGAGAGTTAGACTCACTTGTGAGATTTGACCTCATCGTTTGTGTGATTTTGAATTCGACTATGCGTTGGCTCCCCCTTCCCTTGTCGGTGTTGATACCGAGCATGAAAGGAGGGAATCTACAGAGTACTCAGACGTTGACGGCTCTGGAAACCCCGTTTTCCACACAGAACACCTCCATGCTATTGACCCCAGATTCTCTCCACCAATGCAACTTCGATCATCCCGAGTGAGATAAGACGCTGCAGATAAATGTGCCCGGTGTTAATTATGCTGTAGACTAATCCGGAACATGTGATTGGTGGACCACAGTCGCCGCTTATCGTTGCCCGTCCGTCGTTATCACACAGTCTTGCCTGGAGTGTCGGCCTGTCGGCCCAATACCGACTCTTATCTTTTAAAGACCGATGATAAGATGGGGCCGGTAGTGGAAATCGGCCGCAGTGGCGATCTCACCTTCGCGCGTCCGGATGTGTGCATATGAGAATCGTGTCACCAAACAACTTCGTGGCATCACTCACGGTCGGAACAAAAGAAAAACCTAACGAAACGTCTTTGATTCAACGGTGCACCTGCTATGTCTTCCACGGCCGAGTTCGACCTCGTGATCACCAATGGTGTTTGCGTGACAGCAAGCGATGTTGCAGCGTGGGATCTTGCCATCAAAGATGAAAAGATCGTGCTGCAGGCACCATCCGGATCGCTAATTAAGGCGAATTCCAAGCGCATAATTGATGCCAGAGGCGGTTATGTCATGGTCAGTCTTTTCACCTGTACGATTAACTTTGTGATGAAACGAGTCATTTCACTAATACGATTGCAATCGACTAGCCTGGAGGAATAGACTGCCATGTTCATCTTGAGGAACCTGCAATTTATTTCAAGGGTTCTACCGGCCGCTCAGCTGACAGTTGGGAAACTGGAACCAGGTCGGCTGCGGCTGGAGGCAACACAACCGTCGTCGCCTTTGCGCCTCAGAGAAAGGGCGAAGACAACTCCCTGTTAAGTGCGGTCAATGCAACCCATAAGCTTGCAACGGGAAACTGCTACACAGATTATGGCTTCCATGTCATCATCTCTGATACCAGCCCCGAGGTGTTGTCCGAGCTGAAGACACTCAAGAGTGAGGAAGGAATTTCCTCCGTCAAGATCTACATGACGTACACGGCTCTCCAGCTTCGCGACGACCAAATTCTGAGCATTCTTCTAGAAGCACGTCAGAATGAGATTCTTACTATGATCCATGCTGAGAATGGTGATGTTCTCAACTGGCTCACAGATCAACTTGAGTTACAAGGCAAATTTGCGCCAAAGTACCACGCAAACTCGCGCCCGCCTATCCTCGAAGCTGAGGCGACCAATCGCGCAATAGCTCTATCATCCCTCATCGCTAACACGCCTATTCTGCTCGTGCACGTCAGCGATCCCTCAGCCTCCTCACGCATCCGCATCGCTCAATCCACTGAACAGCATATCTTTGCAGAGACCTGCCCGCAGTATCTCTTTCTGACAAGAGATGACCTGGACAAGCCTGGCTTTGAAGGTGCAAAGTGTGTGTGCTCACCTCCGCCCCGGACGAGTGCCGATCAGGATGCTATCTGGACGGGTCTCGCGAACGGAACTTTTACGGTACTCAGCTCTGACCACTGCCCATTCCGGTTCGATGACCCCGTGGCGGGTAAGAACTCTTGCGTCACAGCTGACCATCCCGTGGGTCAATTCCGCTATATACCCAACGGTCTGCCTGGTGTTGAGACTCGATTACCTCTTGCGTTCTCGGCACAAAGGCTAGCCCTGACAAAGTTCGTCGAGATGTCGTCCACCAATGCGGCTAAGCTCTACGGTCTGTATCCTCGAAAAGGTGCAATGATCCCTGGTGTCTCGGATGCGGACTTGGTCATCTGGTACCCGGAGGAAGAGGTCGGTGACTTCCAAGTTACAAATGACTTACTTCACCATGATGTCGACTACACGCCTTATGAAGGACAAAGTGTGAGGAATTGGCCGAGATACACGATATTGAGAGGCAATGTGGTTTGGGACCGGGATGGCGAAGGCATTGTCGCGCCAAAAGGTGTTGGCCAATTCATGAAGCGTGGATCCAGCACCTTAGCACAGGTTTGGGAGACGGTGAGGAAAGCTGGCCCACTTGATTTGGAGAGCCTTTGATGCAACTCATCTGATGAAACATCTTCTGGTTCTGCTAGAATAATCATTTATAGGAAATATTGGCTTCAAGAGGCATACTAAGTCAGGTGCAAATACCAGAAGCTTGCGTCAGCGGGAGGCACTTAACATGACATGACCTGGTTGTCCATACTCTGGATCGGCCTTCGCCCTTCGGACTCGGAACCTTGGGGTTCGGCTGCATCACCACACGGAGCGGGGCCGGAGCGAAGCGCCCCTACAGACACTATTCATCCTGAAGGTCTTAGATAAGCGTGCTTTAGGAAATAGGTAGTGAAGGATTCGCCAAAGCGGGTACCTAATACGACTAGGGCTCTCCAACTCGCCTTGCATCTCGCAGTTGCTATTAGATGCATCGTCAGGTCTCCCCTCTTCTGACGAAGAGGTTTTTCTCTCAGTTCTCTCTGGCCGAAACTATCAGTATTCTCCTTGTCAGATCATTTACGCCCGTGATCTTACTCAGCAATGGGTTGGGACGACACTCTCGGCGCCGTCGCCAGCATTGGCAGTCTCTTACAGATGACGTGCGAGATCACAAAACTGAGTTACAGCTATCTTTCTAGCGTGCGAAACGCGGATTATACCCGGAGGGAGTATCTAAGAGAGGTTGACGCTCTTGTTGTGGTGCTTCTACATCTCAAGCAAGCCCTTGGTGCAGAGAATGCTGCCATTCTTTCTAGCGATGGTGCCGAGGCTCAATTGCGAGGTTTAGTATCGACTTGCGAGAATGAGCTGAGGACCATCCAAGCGACACTGGGAGTGGCGGCACTGGGCGTTTCAAGACTACTTTGGCCAGTCAAGGAGAGTGACCTGAGAGCACAGATCGACACCTTCCAGCGAAATCGAGCCATGTTCGATAGTTTCGCCTCATCCAGCATTCTCGCCACCACCAAAGCGACTTTGAAGAAATTCGATCCCTTGGTGCTGTCGCACGAGCGCAGTCAGCTTCTAGCAGCTCTTCCTAAGCCTACCATCTCGAAGAGAACAGAAACTTGTCCTGGAACTGGCCGATGGTTCCTAGAATCTGAGACCTATGGCCAGTGGCTGAAACCCGAACCTCCTTCTGCATTCCTATGGTGTCATGGTCCGCCGGGGATTGGTAAATCCGGCATCGCATGGCTCGTGGTCAGGGACCTTCAAGAGCGGCAGCAAAAGGATCAGAGACTACTTCTGTGTTATTTCTTCTGCGACTTCATACAGCAGAAGAGCCAGACAACTTTGGCTGTGCTCCAGTGCACGGCCTATCATTTGATAGCTCAAGGCGACAACGTTGTAATTGAAACTGCAAAGAACGTTCTGTCAGGTTTCGATGCATTTCAGGACGCTGAAGTTCTGGTAAGATTTATCACTAAAGTGGCAGAGTCTAAGTACAACGTCGCTTGTGTCCTAGATGCAGAAGATGAAATCGGGTCATCGGAGCTCTTAACCAAGCACTTCAACCGTCTTGCCGACACAGGGTGCCGCATACTTGTCACAAGTCGCCGCCAGTACAAAGACGCTATGCCCTCTGCTTCCGTATTGGTTACTTCTGTTGTCATGGAAAGTCCCACACAAGACATTCGCAGACTAGCGCAAAGTCGTCTGTGTGAAAGTCACGACAGTCCATTGAGAGATCAGGTGACTCCTGAGTTGATTGAGTGTGTTGTTAGAAGATCAAATGGAATGTAGGTATTCAGACTTCACCTGCCTTTCCCTCCGGAAAATACGATCATGAGAACTGATACGACTATCTCGACTGATTCCTCATTGCTCATGTCTTGCTCAGACATCTCCTAGAGCAGACATCAGTCAAAGCCATGAGGCATATTCTTGACACTGCCAAAAGTGGCAGTATCAATGATGTATTTGAATCTAGTCTACGACGAATCGATAATCAGCCTATCCCGCACAAAACTCTGGCGCACAGAGTGATCGGCTGGATTATTAACTTGAGAAGGGTTTTGACAACAGATGAGATGTTGCACGCGTTCGCTACAGAAGAAGATATGGATGAAATTGATCAAGAATCTGTTACGAGCCAAAGCCTGATGCTGCGGGTCTGCGCTGGACTTGTGGTGGTGGATGACATGGCCAATGTCCGACGTGTCCACACGTCAGTATTCGAATTCTTCGAGCCGCACAAAAGCAACCTCTGGGATGTTCAAATTGACATCGCTCAATCTTGTATCCGATACTTGTGCGCCATGCCTTTTTCAGAAGGTCCAGCAAAAGACGTAGCTGAATTGCGTGGCCGACTCACTGATATGCCATTCTTGGACTATTCGGCTCACCACTGGGGTCACCATATCATCGACCAGGACATGGAGAAATCGGTCTTTCCTCTGCTGGATAAGTTACTGGCATCCGAAAAGACGCGTTGGAGCTCTTTTCAAGTTCTCCAGTTTGATTCCAGTATCAAAAATACCGCCGTTGCCACCGATATCTTTGCTACGATTCCTTATGGACAAGACGCACTCCACTTGGCAGCATTCTGGGGACTGTCACTATTTGCTAGGAGCCTACTTTCAAAAGGTTGTCCACCATCACCACTCGACTCTCAGTTATGGACGCAACTACATTGGGCTGCCGCAAACGGTCATGTTGAGGTCGCGGCGGCTCTCGCCGAAGCTGGAGCATATCTCAATGCGAAGGATTCAGAAGGATGGACTCCGTTGTTTTGGTAAGCACTGCAACCAGTCTAGAAAGTCTTCTGCTAATCAAGTCCACACCAAAAAGGGCGGCATTTGGCTGGCATGCACCAATCGTAAAGATCCTCCTAAAATTGGGTGCGGATCCTTCCATCAAAAGCAACCATGACCTCACCGCGCTGGACTGGGCAATTGGACGTCACGAATTCGATGTCGTCAGATTGCTGCTTGAATCTGATCGGGATGCTGGCAGTGATAAGTCGCAAGCTCCTAAAGAGACTGCTATTGCAAAGTCGGATCTCGAAACCATTGGAAAGGCTATCGGTCTATCGTACTTCCGTGGTCCTACACACAAAGTCTATCTGCAGGATTTATTACCATCTACCAGAGATATGTCCTGGCTCGAACGGCCAAGTGAGGTCACCGTTGCCATCAACGACGCTTACGGGCAGTTCCAACCGCCGGTCTCTGAATCCACATGGCGCGTTGCAAGGAAGACTGGCGCAATCAAGGTTTCGTCGAAGCAGCTTTTCATGAAGCAACCAGAGACTTGGAAGTCGAGCCTTTTACAAAGCGCCATTATTTCCCGTAACCTATCCGCGGCTCGAATGCTGGTCGAGATCGGCGCGGATGTCAACGCCCGCGAACAGGGTCTTTGTCCTATGTATGCTGCCGTGCGATCTCAGGATACGACTTTTTTCGATCTCCTTCTCTCAAACGGGGCGGATGTCGATTTTGAGCATGAGGGAACCTCCCCTCTACTACAAGCCGTCCGGAGTTATGACTATGTCTGGGGAGGCAAGATGGCAAGCGTCGCTGTAGTGGAACGCTTGCTTCAACACGGAGCAAATGTTAATCAAACGCAAAAAAAGGGGTGTGGTCTCAAAGACTATGCTGTTTTCAAATTTGAGGGCTTCACTCCACTGATGCATGTAGCTGGGGCGAAGTCACCTGAGTTGACCAAGCTTTTGATTGCCTACGGTGCAGACGTCAACACTCGTAACGCCACTGGAAATACTGCACTTATCTTGGCTGCGAAAGATGGGGATATAGATACCATGGAAACGCTTCTTTCTAATGGCGCAAATATTCGTTCGCGTAATGACGAGGGAAATACCGTTCTGCACGCCGCGACATCCGGGTTCGGACCTACAGTTGAGTTGCTGACACTGCTCCTCGACCACTGAGCTTCGAAAGATCTTCAGTGTTTAAATAACAGTGGACACGCGCCTTTTCGAGTGCTTCTCGACAAGCACGCCTACTTTGGTAGAAACCACGAAGAAGATACAGGGGTCTTGGAAAGTCACATTGCCCTATTCTTGCGTTTCGAGTCCCCGGACACTGGCATTGTCAAACAGGTCTGTCAAGATGGACAGACGCTCATTCAAGCTATCAAGAGAAACTCCGAGTCGGTATTGCAAATTTTGATGGCTCATGGTGCAGTTCTACCACCAGCGAACGAGTTGCTAAGACTGTTTTACGAAGAAATCGGCAATCGAGGCTCAAAGCAAATGATGTTGCTGGATAAAGTGGCCAGTATCAGCAGTCTGGCCAACCCTCGCGTTACCTTCTTATACTTGATTTTCATTTCAACAAAATTCTTCGGCGACCACATCAACGAAGACACCGATGACACACTGGACGTGACGAGCCCGGAACCCTTATTGCTGCGTGAGCAGCGAGACCGCATGCGTAGTTACCAGGAGGATGGATTCTTGGACATTCTCAGCACTCTCTATGATCTCGGATTCAACCCAAACTCAATGCTCGGAGAGAACTTTGTCAATGCTTTTGCGCGTCACGACCGGCCATTTAGTAAGATCATCGAATACATAGAGATCTTGGGCGGCCAAACCGCTTTAGAAGAAGACGAAAGAAGAATAACTAGAGGGGCGGTGTTCATTTCGGCCATCGCCTTTGCGTCCCAACACGTCCCTTCAGCCAAGATTGTAACGACGCTGGTCGAGCAACACGAAACCAAGATTGGCATCAAAGACCGTACCTTTCGAATGGAAGTCTTGGTCCGATCAGCCGTATATGAAAACATGGCTGTCTATGATGGCATACTAAACGACTTTCTGGTAGCTTATAAAGAGGATGACGCCACCGAACAGCAAGCGGAGTTGGCTTCTACTGAGGGGGAAGATTTTCTGCTCGCGGTCAAAGCCTTTCCAAAGCCAGGAGCTGACGACTTTTATGTCGCATTCTGCCATGCAGTCGAGAGAGTCGGTCTTCAAGACAGGTGCTATGAAGATGGCAGAACACTAATTGATCTTGCGGAACGAGCGGGAAATCAGCAGTTGGTAGATGCCTTAGTCGAAGCTGGGTTTCCTAGGTGTGTTCATCATTCGGCCACTTGACAGAGCTGCAAGAGTTTTGAGTCTGCTAGTCTACGAAGAGATACGGAGTCATTCTTTTCTATGTAATTACGGAAAAGAGTCATTTGTTGGTCCTCAGCCATTACATGTAGTGAAATGAAGAACAAAGATCTGCGTTTCTGTCTTACATGCAGGTTTTGGGGAAGCTTCGTAGGCAGGAGTTGGATTGTGAAAGTCACACCCTATGAATTATCCCACTGCAGACTTTACCACCTGGAAGATCATGCCAATGTCTTCGCCCAAAAGGCAACGAAAAATAAACAGTTGCCGTATACAATGTAGTCAAGTTGGAATGGCGCCACAAATGCATTGAGAGTCCTGCATCTTCAACCACCGAGAGATTCAAAATGTACATGCCGGTTCCGGCTGCGCCCGGGCCGGTTCAAACCGCCACCCGGTCGAAGTGGGGACTATGCCACGCCCTTGGATTGACGTTGAAGCCTCCGACAAGGACAATGCGAAGGTTGATACTACATGTAACGAACGTGAATTATCAGTAATCAACATTTCAGAAATATCTTTACCATCTCTTTTCGTCTTAAAAAGAGTTACAGTCACCCTCAAACTCCAAGCCACGATTCAGTACCATCAACCCCGCATCGCCAAGATCGCTATCGTTAGTTTCTCATCGAACTCTCGCCGTGATAACCAAAGTTCACATCGGTCAGTCGCAATGGCTAGCTTGAAGGACTTCCGCGTTCTCACTTTCGATGTCTACGGAACTCTGATCGACTGGGAAGGCGGCATGCTCACGGCCCTGCAACCCCTTTTGGACGAGAACAAGCGCACAGACTTCACACGCAAGCACCTCCTGGACGTCTACCACGAGCTTGAGGCCAAGCAGCAGACAAAGACGCCAGACATGCCTTACTACCAGCTCGTGGCCACCATTCATCCCCAGATTGCTGAGAAACTTGGCCTCGCAGCTCCCACAGCCGAGGCTTCGAAGGCCTTCGGTGACTCAGTCGGCAACTGGCCTGCGTTTCCCGACACCGTGGACGCGCTGCGCCGTCTTCAAAAGTTCTATAAACTCGTCGTTCTGTCCAACGTCGACCGCGAGTCTTTTGCGAAGAGCAACGCCGGCCCGCTTCAGGGTGTGCCCTTTGACCTTGTGGTGACCGCACAGGATGTGGGCTCTTACAAGCCTGACCAGCGCAACTTCAGCTACATGCTGCAGAAGGTCAAGGAGACATTTGAAGTGGAGAAGAGCCAGGTGTTGCAAACGGCTCAGAGCCAGTTTCATGACCATCACCCGGCTAAGGAGGCGGGTATCAAGTCGTCATGGATCGTCCGACCCGGTGCGGTCATGGGGAACAGGGATGTTGAGATTTACGACTTCAAGTTTGACACGCTGGGACAGATGGCAGATGCTCTTGAGAAGGAGCTGGCATAAGGGACATCGAATTTGAGTTCGGGCATTTTGAATTGGTTCCAGTGGTGTCGTGAATGAAATAACCATGAGTTAGAGACCCTAACGAACTCTTCACACTGCGTCTAAGTCGCCTCCTTACATTGCGTGTGTTTGATCCCTTGAATGAAGAGAGATGTTCAACCACTAGAATTAGTTCACAACTTAATATATCTCCCTTCATCGTTCTAAATCTCACAAAGTCTCTATCTTAACAGTGTTCTGTCATGAGTAGCCGTACCACGCAATGCGTCGCTATCTCTAAAGATAGGCGCAGGAGTTTGAAGGTCGGTTGTGACAACCGGTCGATGCTCCCAGTACGGCAATATGGAGATTCTACCATGCGATGAAAACATGACACATGATAATTCCAGTTCAAGTTGGTTTTGTCTTGGTGTTTACTTCATGATGACTGTGCCGAAAGCCCGAAGTGGGGTAACGTCCCGCACCCACTTTCCGGACACCCCCTCATTCCGGACACCTAAAAATGCCTCAATAAAATCTTTCTCTTACAACTTTGATCCTGAATAGCTTCACCACCTTAATCTCACTTATTTCCATCTTTATCTAACATCTTCTTCTAGACCATATGAGTCAATATACAGAGTATGAGATTAATCAGGCTCTTAATGCGATCTCTAATAGGCTTAGCGTGCGAAAAGCTGCATTGCAGTATAGGGTCCCAAAGTCTACTCTTTATGATCGTATCCAAGGCACCCAATCAAGAGATATTGCCTTCTCAGATCTACAGAGGCTCTCTCCAACCCAAGAAAGCCATTTGGCTGAATAGATTCAAATCCAGGCTGCCCTAGGCCTACCACCAACCCATCAACAACTCAAGGAATTCGCTGAGCGTATCCTACAGATCCATAGAGACGCCAAGCCTCTAGGGAAGAACTAGGTTCAGGCTTTTATCAAGAGAAACCCATCTATAAGGGTCCAGAGAAGCAGAGCAATTGATTCCCAGCGCATCAACGGAGCCTCAACTAATATCATCAGGCAATAGTTCAAGCACCTCGCCATCCCTGAGATCATAGCCATTAAAGCCTCCAATCGATACAATATGGATGAGTCTGGTATTCTGGAAGGCAGAGGATCAAATAGGCTTGTTCTTGGATCATCAGAAACTCATTCTATCCGCAAGAAACAGCCTAGATCGCATGCTTGGACATCTCTAATTAAGTGTATCTCTGCAACTGGCAAGACACTACCTCCACTTATTATATATAAGGGCAAGAGTGTCCAGCAGCAGTGGTTTCCTCTAGATCTGACGCCATACAAATCCTGGAAGTTCACAGCAACAGAAAACGGGTGGACTTCAGACTCTACAGCTGTTAAGTGGTTAACAGAGGTCTTTATACCTTCTACCCAGCCAGCAGACCCCTCAAAGGTCAGATTGTTGATCTTAGATGGTCATAGAAGCTATGAGACTACTGCTTTCATATATACATGCTTCAGAAACAAGATACACTTGCTGTTCTTACCAGCACACACGTCACACGTCCTTCAGCCACTTGATCAGTCGGTTTTTAGGCCCCTCAAGGCAGCATACAAGAAGGAGCTTAGATTACTTGCTGAATAGGATGCTGGTACAGTTATGGGCAAGAGAAATTTCGTTATATGCTATAGCAAGGCGCGTAAGGCAGCCCTGACAAGCAAGAATATCATCAGTGGCTGGAAATGGACTGGTTTGTGGCCTATCAGTATGGCTAGACCCCTCATGAGCCCTCTGCTGCTTGAGAACACTTCAACCCCTGCCAAACCAGCTGGTCAGGTCTGCAAAGGGCTCTCTGATGGCAAAGCAAGCGAAAAATGGGCGGCAGATACATCAGCAGTCCCTTGGTCAACCCCCAAGAAGAGGGATGAGCTTCAGGATCAGTTCAGCCTGTTCAGCAAGCTGGATAACGATGAGCATACGCAACGCCTGCTTTTTCGGAAGGTTCAGAAGGGCTTTGATGAGAAGGCATACCAACTGGCAGTAGCCCAGCGAAAGATTGAGGCACTACAAGCAGAGGTTGATGCCAGTAGGGCCAGGAAACGCAAGAAGGTCAAAATGAGCCCAAATTCGAAGTTTGCTGATATTGAGGCTATTCGGAGGGCTCAAATCGAGGCGGGAGAACTTGAAAATAGTATAAATGAATCCAGCGAGTCTGAAAACTCTAGTGATAGCGAAAGTTGTATTATAGTTGCATCAGAATAGCAGAAGTCCTAGGTTTAAGTTACTGCGTTGATATATGGGGGCATAATTTTTGGGTGTCCGGAATGAGGGGGTGTCCGGAAAGTGGGTGCGGGACGTTACGCAGAAGCTACCCATGTCCACCGGCAAGCTCAATCTGTACACCATAGGGCTGAGAATAGGGTTCAAGTACGCCCTTGAATCAACATCTCTTGTCAACTTACCGCGTTTGGTCGAATCGGAATCTGGTGCGACGTTGGCCAAACTTCGGAGCCTCCGCACCGATCCCGATCCCGGGGCCCGGCCCGGCCGACACCGGGGCTGCCAAGTCGAACGCTGCACTAGCGTCGAAGCGGGAGGAACGTGGGGGAACTCCCAGTCTGCCACAGGCAAGCCAAATAACTCAAAACATGATCTTTGGTCACATTAACGTAATTTGATTGGATCACCAACCTCTTTTAGACTTCGTCGCATTGCTCTCGGCAAAATACAGGGCAAAATACAGTAAAAGTAGTGCAAGCATGGCATCCGACCTCCTCGGCGGGTTTCCGGCCCAAGCCCCAGCTAAACCGTCAACCAAACTCCGTTTCGCAGACGTAAGCGCAACACCCACAACTAACCAGCATCTTTTTGTCATCGTACTAATCATCAAGTAGGTCGCAGTCACGGCAACTGCAAAGGACTTCGCAGGAATCTACAGAGGCAAACAGTACCACCAACCAGACTTCGATGCGGTGCTCGACCGCGCGCTCGCCGCGGGCGTCGAGAAGGTGATGCTGACAGGCATGTCCCTCTCCGACGCCGCAACGAACCTATCCATCGCGAAATCACGCCCAGAGGGTTCATGCTTCGTCACGATCGGCATCCATCCGTACCATGCAGCAGAGCCGGATGCAGAGCCGGATGGCGGCGAGGACGGCCACTTTGCCAAGCTCGCGCAGACAGTCCGTGATGCACTGGCCCCGACTTCTGGTGGGATCAGTCTGTTGGCCGCATTCGGTGAGCTAGGATTAGACTATGACCGGCTCAACCACGCCTCCAAGGAAGCGCAGGTCCGCACGTTCAGGCGCCAATTAGACCTTTTCGTGGCAGAGAAGCTTGATCTGCCGCTCTTTCTGCACTGTCGTGCAGCGTATGATGACTTTGTGGAGGTCATCAAGCCATACCTTCCTAGTCTTCCCAGACGAGGACTTGTGCACTCCTTCGTGGGGAGCGCGGAGCAGATGCAGGGACTGGCGGAGATGGGCTTCGACGTCAGCGTTAATGGCTTCAGCTTCCAGGATAGGGAAAGCTTGGAGATGGTTCGACAAATTCCATTGGACCGGCTGCAGATCGAGACGGATGCGCCTTGGGGAGAGATTCCTGCTGGTTCGGAGTTGGCGAAAAGGTACCTTGCCAACGCCCCGAGTCTGCCCCAGAGTAAGAAGAAAGACAAGTTCGAGTTGGGCTTGATGGTTAAGGGGCGGAATGAGAGCTGTGCGATGGATCGAGTTGCGTTCGTGGTTGCTGGGTTGAAGGGAATCACCGTGGAGGAGGTGGCGGAAGCTGCATGGAGAAATAGCGTGAAGATGTTTGGTTTAGGAGAAAAATGATAGTGTCGGTAGCAAAAGCACAAGCTTAATTGATATCGAAGTCTTCGCTCTCGTGGTAAGATCTTTATATCTGTTAGGTTCAAGACGGAGCCAATCTGAACAGGGCCGAAAACATTGTGCCCTTAAAGCGTCTTCTCAACCAGTACGATCCCCTCCGCCTCAACTGCCTTACGAATAGGATCACAAATTCCCGCCTTGTAGGGGGCTAAGACTCCAGCGACATTGAGCGCAGGCTCGCCGTTGAGTAGCAACTGAGTGGCGATGCCACAAGTTACGCCGACCGACTTGGCCATCGCCGAGTACCCATTTGGTTCTCCAAGAAGCTCCAGAGTTGAGGTGATTGTGTCCTACTCAGAAGCCGACGTCAGTTTCAAGGGCCGCACTATGATCGAGCAAGACAAGAATCCCGTTACCTTGGAACCATCCTTCCATTCAACAACAAACTTGTGCTGAAGCATCACCAGGTCTCTCTCTCCAGGTTGGAAGCTCATGAGCTTCTCAAGTTCGGCGCATAGAGTGTCCAGAAGATTTCCTTGAAGAGTGGCCGGATTGTCGGAGAACAGACCGATCCATCGCAAGCCTTCGATAATACTATCCCTCTCAGCGCCACTGGTGAAGTCGCAAAGCTCATCAACGCGGTTGATCAAGGCCCTATGCAAGTCAGCGAACATCTCCAGTATACCCCGAAGGCAAGCCATCATACTCTTCATCAAAGGCTTTCGAGCCGATGCATCTTCCTAGGACCTCCTTCAAAGTCAACCCTTCACTCTCAGTGCCCAACCACTCCTTGGGCTGTGTGTCCAACCATCCCATCCTGATCAGTGCCCGCACGAAAGCCGGGTTGCCCGCATATCTCAGAGACCCGCGTATGACTGTTTCCGCCTCAGGGATGTTGTAGAAGTCGCGGAAGGGAACGGAGTTGCGGTTGGGATACGCAACGAAAGAGTACCCGTCCATGACGTGGTACGGCTTCGCGTGCGCCATGAGGTGCTGGTTTGAGATCTCAACTACCTTGCCATCCTGGAGGAAGCATGCCGAGTTGAACTGGGACAGTAGAGCTCCGCGCGGGGACCAGGAGAACTTGAACTTAAGGGGGTTATCGGCGCACTCCGGAGCGGGCAGACCGCCGCAGTACGAGTAGAACTCCTTGACCTGGCGCAATACATTAGTAAGAGCGGTGCTCCGGAACTGACTTCAATGCAGCTTCCCACCTTTCCGCCCTTGGCATGCACTTCATCAATGGTTTTGATGGCATACAAGTGGTCAACTCCAGGATCGACTCCAACCTCGTTGAGCACCGTGATCCCAGCTGCCTTGGCTTCGGCTTCCAGCTCTCGGATCGCAGGCGAGACGTAACTCGTGGTCACGACGTGGGTCTTGCCGCGGATCGCCGCTTTGATCCCCGTTGGATGGTAGATGAAGGGCACGAGGGAGATGACGACGTCATGTTTAGCAACGTGGGCGTCCAGTTCAGGAGAGGCAACGTCGAGAGCAATTGCGGTCGCCCGGGAATGGTCTGCGGCAAGGGTCTGGGCTGTGCTGAGAGTTCGACAAGCTAAGAGGTAGCAAGTCAGCTTCTGGTTCGGTCATTTCTTGTGACAGGTCAAGAACCAATTGTCAACTTGTTCTTTTCGTTGCGAAGGAGGTAATCAACACAGGGCTTGGCAACGAGGCCGCTTCCGAGGACGAGTATTCTTTTGTCAGTAGACATGACGAACGTAGCTTGGCGGATTTCGGCGGTAGTTCATTGGCTAGTTACTGGGAAGAATAAAATCGGACTGGTGCTGCAACTTGCATATTGAATGATGCGAAGAACCCCAGACTTATAAACGAATTCACCGTGAGCGTCGCCATTTGGCTGCGATAGGCTTTGAGTCCCGGACACATTCTTCACACCTTTCATCGAAAAACCGTGACTCATTCGGCGACATGATTCCTGCATGGCGTCCTATCCTGACAGATGGTTTCACAGACGTTGGTGAGAACCAATTTGAGGCTGCGTTGAGATATGGCCGGCCCGGAAGCGGATCGGCCGGGGGTTTCGGCGACACACCGCAACGCTCGGGATCTCCTGCCTGAATCAGAGCTCCAGTCACATATCCTTCTGAATCGAGAAACGCAGCGTCTCAAACAGGCCTAAACAAGTCAAATTTGTCAGCGAGAACAGTTCGATTGACTACCGCAATTGATGAATTAGGATTCTTAAGGTACCCGAGAACCGCTCGCTCCAGTTGCATGGCAATGTGAAGGGCCTGTGGCATAGGAAAAGATCAACCCCATTCAGGCGTGCGTCCGCCAACAGCGCCCATTCTCGATTGAATTGCTCCCAAAATGACAATAAGTTATCGTCGAATATCGGCCGGTTCCCGCAGCCTAGAGGTCCTTGGATCTTGGCTTGAAACCCCCCTCCCCCCCCATTTTCACTACCGATCGTTGACACCAATGATCACTTGCCATATCTTTAGTTTGTTAGCAATAATTTCGTCACAGGACCTCAAATTCAATTGCTCGTTAAGTCATTGTCGGACATGTTCTTGTTGAGCTCGGCTTTTGGCATCTCCGCGCTGGCCCCATCTCAAGAGGTCCAAGAGTCGTCAATCTATACGTAGATCGCGCGCGGTTGTCTGGCCAGATTCTCGGCAGTTTTCGCGTCCATTTCGAACAGCAAATATACAATCATCAGGCAAATGAAGAGCATAGGTCGCAAAAGACTTCAATCGTCATCGACACGAGAAAGATGCGCAGCTGTTGATGGCTGACAACGACGAGCGAATGATTGGGCTATTGGACTTCGGAGACCCGCAGCCATGTTGGTGAGCTCGGTGAGGCATGGCCCGAGCTCCTTCACCGAGGAGCACACCTTATTACATCACCCATTCTGCCATCCGATAACAATTTCGCATTTCTCATCAATCGCTTTCGGTTGACCACCCCGCCAAACGCACCACCACACAGCCCAAAATGTTTGTCAGGTCGTTCGCCCGCTCAGTAAGTTTCCTTTCTCGCGCAATTAACCCCATTGAGACGACCACAAAGAACCAAGAGGCGCTGACCCGACATCGCAGAGTTTCGTGCGGCAAGCAGCCCGCCCCGCCGCTCGCCCGCTGGCCTTCCGAGCTCCCATCCCCTTCCTCACCCAGCACCGCCTCCTCTCCGACGAGACGAAGCAAGCGATCGAGAACGCCGTCGGCGCCGCCCCTGTCGTCCTCTTCATGAAGGGCACCCCCGAGACCCCTCAGTGCGGCTTCTCCCGCGCCTCCATCCAGATCCTCGGCCTCCAGGGCGTTGACCCTGAGAAGTTCGCCGCCTTCAACGTCTTGGCCGACCCCGAGCTGCGCCAAGGTACGAACAAAACAAATTACGAAGAAATATGAAAATTGGAAGGAAGATCAGGTGCTGACTATAGGCGCACAGGAATCAAGGAATTCTCCGACTGGCCGACTATCCCCCAGCTCTACGTCGAGAAGGAGTTCATCGGCGGCTGCGACATCCTCGTCTCTATGCACCAAAACGGCGAGCTCGCCAAGCTGCTCGAGGAGAAGAAGGTTCTTGTCGCGGCCGAGAGCGAGAAGAAGGAGGAGTAAAAGGAAGGATATTCCTAGACATCCACGCTTGAGGAGAGTGTTTTCATGTTCTGTACGATTGTAAAATACCAAGGGAAGGCAGCCACGAAGCGAAACAGGTCCCGGGAAATAGAGTGGTATTTATTTCGTCTGCGATATCCGGAAAATCTCCATTCATGTTTTGCGCATATTCACATTCTGCTGGTACTCGTCCAGGGTTCTTTCGTTTTCCATCACATTACATATTAATGCTTACAGCGCCGGGTACGCTCCGCCGTCGCCACGCATGTCGCTGCCCGCCGACCACACGCCGGTTCCCTCAATGGGGTCGACGTGGTACCTGATGATCTGGCCACGGCCAAAAAGACCTCTTTCCGAGCCGGTGACCACCTCGACCTTGTGTCCCAACTTGCGCAGGCCCTCAACGGTCTCCTCGGGCATGCCCTCCTCGACACTGACCGTCCAGTCAAAGTCGGCGTCCTTCTCGGGCAGACCAGCAACGATGCACACGCGCGGCGCATCGAGCGTCTGCTGCGGCGTGAGTCCTGCGACAATCTGGCCAAGAAGAACTTGAACGTGACCCTGTGGCTGCATGAAGCCGCCCATGACGCCGAAGGCGCTATGCAGCGAGCCGTCGGCCTGGTTTGTCACCATGCCCGGGATGATGGTGTGGTACGGGCGCTTGCGGGGCGCCAGCTTGTTGGGGTGCTCCGGGTCGAGGCTGAAGTTGGCGCCGCGGTTCTGGAGAGTGAAGCCGCAGCCCTTGGGGACGATGCAGGTGCCGAAGCCGCCGTAATTGCTGTTGATGAATGATGCGGCGTTGCCATGGGCGTCTGAGACGGTGAAGTAGACGGTGTCGCTGCTGCTCAGAGCAGGAGAGACGAACTTGGGGGGCTCGCCGGGGTGCAGCTTGTTCAGTGCCTTGCTGGGGTCGAACAGCTTTGCGCGCTGGGCGAGGTACTCGCGCGAGATGAGGCCGGCGGAAGGCACGTTGACGACGTTGGGGTCGGTCACATACCAGCTCGCGTCAGTGAAGCCAAGACGGAGAGCCTCGATGATGGCGTGGAGGTAGGGCGCCGTGTTGTGGTCCTCCGCAGACCATGCAGGGACTGCTCCGGAGGCCTGCAGCTCCTGAATGATGCCGAGGGCCATGAGAGCAACGATGCCCTGGCCGTTGGGCGGGTGCTCCCAGAGCTCGACGCCGGCGTCGACGAAGTCGGCATTGCCGTTGGCCTGTTGCTGGTTCTTGAGAACAGGCTTGAACTTGAGAGAGATGGGGTCGACAGGTTCGCTGCCAAGCGCCAGGTGGTTGGCCAAGTCGTCAAGCTCGAGGTGGCCGCCCAGATCCTTAACGACCTTGACCAGCTCCTCGGCGATGCGGCCCGTGTAAAAGCCCCTTTTGCCCTCCTTCGCGAGCGTGCGGAACGTTCGCGCCAACGTGGGGTTCTTCATGATCTCACCCGGGTTGGGCGCTCTTACGCCGTCCGCGGCCTTGGGGTCCTTCTTCAGCATCTCAGCGAAGTTGGGCGATGCATCTCTGATTTGAGGCTCGGCTGTGTTCCACTACTCATCATTAGCAGCGGCTTTCTTAGTATTGAGAACTTTGTACATACGTATGAGCTTGTCAGCTCACTGACGGGGAAACCCTCCTCACCCAGCTCAATTGCCGGGGCCAAAATCCTCTCCATGTTGACATTGCCGCTGCCGAAGCGCTCGATGGTGTCAACCCAACCAGCAGCCGCGCCAGGGCAGGTTACAGCATGAACACTCTTCATAGGAATTTTGCCCTGCTCGCCATCCTTAAGACCGAGGTCCTTACGGATGGTTTCGAGGGTAGCTTTCTTCCCTGAGCGTCCTGAGCCGTTCATGGCTGAGACCTTGCCGGTCTTGGCGTCGTAGAAGAGGATGAACATATCGCCACCAATGCCGGTTGAGCACGGTTCAGTCATGTTCAGACCGGCGGCTGAGTGTATATTCTTGTTAGCAACTTGAACAAAAGTCCCAAATAGAGTTGTACTGACCAACCGCGACCGCTGCATCCTGTTACATTACATTCAACGTCAGCCGCATACACCCCGGAAAGGGATCTGAAGGATCGACTTACGGCTGCATTGCCGCCAGCTTGCAGGATCTCAATACCACATTTCGCGGCGAGAGGCTGAGTGCATGAGACGATGCCCTTGGTGCTGTGAACGACACTCCGTCTGCTGGGAAACTTGACAAACTCCTGCGCCTGCGGCGTGAGGAGGGCGCTGGTGGAGAGGGGCATTGTGAGTAGTCGTCGGTGCGGGGTTCTCGCCGTCGATAAACCGGAGACGAAAGCGCGGGGGAGGGGTCCGACAGATGATGAGGGAGCGAAGAAAAAGCGCGATGGGATGAACACTTTTTCGCGACAAGTCGTTGACAGGTATAGGTTGTTGACGGTTTCAAAAAAGCGCAGTATCAGTCACAATAAGAGGGGGAAAATTGGATGGCGTCAATGATTATGTCGTGATAACAGCGAACTCGGAGGTGGAGGGCGCCGAAAATAGTCGTTGACCGTTGACACAAGGACGATTTAACCGAGCAAGGCGCGAACGACAAGCCAGGCCTAGGTATTCTTGTCTTTTACAAAGACGAGGAGGGAGAGCGGGGATGATGGAGATCGGCCACGCGGAACGGGCAAAGCTCATATGTAATGGAACCTGCTGGCTCTTCTTCCTTGCCGGGACACACCAAGGACGGTGTCTTTCATTCGCCCTCTCGCTGAAGATTGATCATGTACGTAATGCCTAGGGCCAGTTCTTGCCGATGGGAATTGCCAAGTCTGGTAGGTCGATAAGAGAAGCAAAAGAATTCCCCGATTTACCTAGTGTAGCAGGGTGGACGGCCGGTTTACGCTAGTGGAGCTTGTCGGATGCTCCGCTCAGTCGGTGCTGCTGCCGAGATTGTTGATTCGACTGATCGCTCTGTTGATGGTGTGGACAAAGATCGCAGAAGAGTCATGGATAAGAGACAGAAGCTTCGGAGAGTTGGGTGATTCGCCGTCTCTCATTCAATCAAGTGCCTTAAGTTTTTGATGTTTTGACGTGCGCTTTGAGGAAGAGGGAGACAGGTTGGGACATCCGTCTGGTTTATCAATCATTCGGCCTATACCTTTTTTGACACTTATTCAAGACTTAGCAGCCAGCGCCGTTTTTGCAGCATTGTCGTTTCCCACTGTAACCCCAACACAGCGCCCCGGCCGTCGGCCAAAACGGAGAGGTGGTCCAGAGCGACGAGGTCCGAAACTCGGGGCTTGTTTCACTGGCACGGTTGAAAGGTGACAGAAGTCTAACGACGACAAGAAATTGGAATTACAAAAACGTCAAATCTTCATGACAAGGGAGCGCGGTCTTGTACCGTCCAACCCCGGGCCTAAGGTTTGTTCTTTTCGTTTTCTCCTGCTCGTTTTCTCGTTTCTTTCGGATGCGCGCAGCCGGACTTTTTTTTTTTTGCCTTTCTGTTTTTTTGAGCCTTTTTAAAGCCTGCAAGCAATCGCAGTTGATGATCAGCGGCTGCTCCCGTTGAGCTGGAATAAACAAGTCTATTTTGCGAACTGCCACCCCGAAACGTTGGTTTGATCCGAACGAAGACGAGGAGAACGTCGAGGGCACGGGCTGCTGGACACGGGCTTTGCCAGGCGCGCGGTAAACTTCCACGTATGGCCTTCAACAATAGGAATTTCTTCAATTTTCCTTTTGAGGATGCGCATGGCATCGTTGGCTTTCTCTTTCTCTGCTCACCTGCAGTCCCCCGCAGTGTCTTGCATCAAGACTCAATAACTGGAAACCCGAACTCCTATTGGTCCCATCAAGCTCATCTCAACCTCCCACAAACACAGCTCGGAAGAGTGTCCCGAGTAGTTCTAGAAGACCCAGGCTGCTCCGCCTTCCAAGCTTTCTCGCCGGTGGAGACGGAAGCTCTAGGATGAAGCTGCCAAGCGCATCATCCAGTCCTAACTCAATTGAGGTCATTTATCGAGAAAGCCAACGTGTGTCTGTGAGTCATTGGCAGTGCAGAGGAAAGTCAGTCTGGGATTGGGATGAAAAAAAGCCGTTGTTTCGCCTTTAGGTTTTGCGCTTGTCCCATTCTTCTTCGAGATGCCATGCACCTTTCACTCTGCAGGAGTCGCCAGGTGGTGTCGATGATTGGACCGTCACATGCTATTTCTTCTGTGGGTATCCATGGCTATGAGTTGGTAAAGCCTGAGGCTTTCACCATTCTTGTTGTTGGCGGTTCATCGAGTCTAGCCCCGGTGCGTGTATGACTTGGCTGATGACACACGTCTCTGCCTCAGCGCTCAAAGCACATACCCGGTCGATGTTGTCATCGCGATGGAGCGCCAAGTCGTTGTAAGACTGATACGACTGGCTCATCCGAAGCCCGTATCTCTTTCTCAGGAAGCTGGATGATAATTCTCCGCGCGGCAGATCATCTGCGCGACAATGGAACGTGGCCATCGGGTTCAGGGTCAGCGATTGGATCATCATCGTCTAAACGGGTGGGATACCGCTGATGGTCTCGAATGTAACCCACCGGGCCGTGAAACTCAACTGTGGAAATCATAAGCAGAAAAATGAGCTTCACGGGGTTACACGCGGATGCCGGCGATCCGATGATCTTCAGGCCACCATGTGCCCACGCAATTACGACATTCGAGGGTACTACATACGGCAAGGCGCAGCAAAACGAAAGGGACCAAGCAGAGAAATGTGACGCTGAGTCTCTATGAAGAGCCCTGATGTTTGATTGATATCACGAGCGCTATACACACAGGCACGCCAACGCTCCAACATTGAGACGACATCATCCCACTTCCAACTCCAGCTCCTCAAACCTTGAACCGGAACCCATGCGTGGCAGCCTCTCCAGGCGCAGCGTTGATAGCCCCCTCGACGTGCTCACCCCTCTCGAGCTTCCTGTTCAGCCGCATGAGAACCACCCTCAGCACCGTCGCCGCGCAGATGGCGATGAAGCACGCGACGCAGTTGTGGATGAACGCCGCCATGTACTGCGGGCTGGCGCTCTTGGGGTACAGGTAACTCGCGTAGATGCTGGAGCAGTTGGACACGGCGTTGATGAATGCGAGCGCCGAGGCGCGCTTCGCGGGCGGGCGCGGCAGGGTGTTGCTGATCCAGGCCAGCGCGGTCGTGTACCCCGAGTAGACGCCCGGCACGAGGAGCATCATGGCGACGTAGCGGGGCGCGGTGGCGTGGGTGGCCGCGCCGATGATGAAGGCCACCATGGCGACACACAATGGGAGGATGATGTGGAAGTAGCGCTCACCGGTGCGGTCGGCGTGCCAAGCGTTGAGGGACGTCGTGATGATGCAGAGGACGTACGGCGGGCATGTGAGGAGCAGAGAGATGACGTTGTTGTAGCCCAGGGTTGCGACAACGGTGGGGAAGAAGTTAGTGATGGAGGCCGAGGCGACGATGCTGAAGATGAGGACGAGCTGATGGGTGTTAGTAGGTTGACACGGAAGCAAGTGAATGATGTGAGCATACCAGAATCCAGGTCTTGACATCTTCCAGCGCAGTCTTGAATCCATGCCAGAAGGTCTGCTGCTGACTTCCTGTCCAGTCATCCTCGCCAATATCCTCCTCGAGTCTCCAGATAGCCAGGGCCTGTTCCTCCTCACTCAACCACGATGTTGTGCGGGGGAAGTTTGGCAGAACCCAGTATGCGGCGATTGCGATGGCAACAGTCACGACGCCCTCGATCAAGAAGAGCCATTGCCATGCTCCGAGGCCTCGGGCACCATCCATATTGCCTGTGATACCGGCCGAGATGAGACCTGAGAAAGCTCCAGAGATGAGGGAGCCGGTGTATAAGATTGTCGTCCTCAGACCCAGCTCCTCACGTGTATACCAACAGCTGAGGTAGTATAAGCATCCCGGAAAGTACGCGGCCTCCACGAAACCTTTTTTCTCTGCGTTAGATCTTAAAGCAGAAAATAGAGCTCAAGATTCACCTACCCAAGAGGAAGCGAACGGCAAGAAGGCCGGCATAGTTGTGGCATGCTGCCGTTGCGGCAGAGATGATTCCCCAGACAACCATCTGCACAGGCAAGGTCAGTCTATGCCAACACACGACATGTCACTCTTTGTATCGACTTACACAAGTGGGAAGGTAGATGGCCGGTTTACCGATCTTGTTCAGGAAGAGGTTCGAAGGCACTTGCATGAGCAGGTATCCCACGAACAAGATACTGACCGCCGTCTGGAACTGGTTCGAGTCGGGGTCCAGTTTGAGATCCCGCTCCAATCCCGCCAGACGTGCCGCCGCAATGTTGTTTCTATCAATGTAGTTCCTACTCCAGGTCAGTCTCCAATTTCCTGACAGGCTAACCCGCAAGACCAAGACCTACAAGATGTAGCAGATGACCGTCATCGGGAGCAGGCGCAAGTCGATCCGCCGTCTAAGCTTCTTCTCCATCTCGACGCGATACTCATGGCTCATCGCCGCCACAATGGGCGGCGGCTGTAGTCCTCTCCGCTGGGCCTGGGCCTCAATGGAGGCTTTCGGAGCCGTATCGTCGGCATCGTCGGACCGGTGGTCGTGGTGTAGCGAGGTGTGGTCAACCTCCGTCGGCTTTCCGTCCGCCATTTTCCTTCCACTTTCCTTGTTGCTCACTTTTCGGAACCTGCGTTATCAAATACTGGCTGCGAAATGAGTCGACTGATCGTTTTGCCGATGCGCCGGGTCGAAAAGAGAGGAGAAAGCAAGCACCGATCGCGCAGAAGTAGATCACCAAGGGGACATGAATCCTTCAAGTACCATTTAGAAGAGCGGGCGTCGAACCTCTTTAACTCCGCACCACCCAAATCTCTGGCAGCTTTCCGCTGCGGAAAAGAGGAAACCACAAAAGACATGGGGGGCGGCACTTGGGGGTGGTCATGTTCGGCTCGGTTTCGTCCCATGCCGTTCTACCCAAGTCGGGGCAATCACCGTCCCTCCCCCGTGGGGTAGCTTAATCTCACCCCAGCCATTCAAATTTCTAGTATGACAGAACTCCCTTTCCCCTCTCGACCAGGTAATGACAATCTTCTCCCCCATTTTGCCATCCAACCACGCGCTGGACAGGTACGACACGGGACCGGATGTCGGGATCGTCCCAAAGATAATCATCTTTCGCGTGGCGAAAGCTTGGGGGGAGAAATGCATGAGCTTGACAGGACCGTCATTCTGGTGCGGAGAACCTGCATCTCGAAGCTGCGATTTACGGCGCAAAGGAAGTTCTCTGCGGGCTCTTGCGGAGAACTTCGAGCCCGAATAGTTGGTTGGCAGATCAGAGCCAAGACTCGATAATGAAACCACCTCGTTCTCGCGTTCGGCGAATATTTACAAATACGTAAAAGAAGCCATCGCAACCACGCTGTTGAGCCTGGAGATTGGTGACGACTCCAAGCCAACACGGAAAAGGGACCACACACCGCTAGCAAAATCCGGGGTTGGGTCCCGTTCAGAGGCAAGTGTGCGGGGGAAGGGACTGGGGTAAGGCGGAGTAACTCCGACTTTCGCCCAACAAGTGCGGCAATGTAATACGAAAAAAGTCCCCTGGTGAAGAAGAAACATGAGACGGAAATATATACTCGCGAAATCGCGCCCTAGGGATTCGGCGTCTGCAGTTCTCAGGTCATGATGGCACGACAACCAAGACTTAGCTCGCGCCCCGGTCTACCTGTCTCACTGCTGATGCCGGTCGCTCATGTTGCAGCATCTTGCAGATGGGAAAAGAACCGGTTTAATACCATATCTAATGCCCTGCATATAGAAGAAGAACACTTGCAGCTTCGATATTAACTCCAACGACGAAACGGGACGAACTCCCGAAAATGCAATGACGACATGGCTTGTATTTCGGCCGTTTTGTGATTGGTTCAGCGCGAAGGTCGAACTGGTGCGGGGACCTTAAACAGCCTTTGCGCGTAGAAGCATATTTCTTTCATAATTATCCCGCGATGATACAGACTGCTCCCCGTTTTGGTCTTTAGTTGAGGCTGTGAAGAGCAGTTTTGGTTGGGCTCAGAATTTCTGATATATTATCATCTGCAAACTTACCATTTGATGTTGAGTCCGTAAAGCTACTTGTCATAGGACTCGTTACTGCCTTTTTCGGAATAGTCTCAGGTTCCGCGGATGACGGAGTTTGTGTTAACTTTGCTACCTAGTGTGTTGCACAGAGTACCATGTTCTCTGCCTGTCACTGCAGGTTATGATTATGATGGTTTCACTCGGCCGTCATACATGGCAGCGTACAGGTTAAATTGGGTCTAGAGTAAAAGGGTTAAGATAGTTTCCCCATGCCCTCCTTTTTACCTACCTATGGTCTCCCAAGTTGGTTTGTTTAATTCTCCTTATTCTCAGCTCTTGAACGAAGCCATCTTCCTATGTTGGACCCGCACAGCAACCGCAGGGTACCCCTGAGTGCTGCTTCAGGGCACACGACTGATACCGACCGTCAGGAAACAAGTACCGTCAACGATGAAGTCAGTGCGAACCTGACAGAAGGCGAAAATGATATCGAGATGACGAGCTGCACAGGCGGAGGCTATAATATTGTACCGACAAGCGATGCTGGTTCCCTTACGTCCGGGAAGGGGACGGCTGTTGATTCTTCCAAAACAGGGGAGTGCCAACGAAAGCCACAAGAGCCGACTGAGAAGCTGGAGATCTTAAGATCATGGCTGTTCGAATTCTTGGCCCTCCTCGCTTCAATCTTCTCATATGCGGGAATCATAGCAGTTCTAGGTGCTTATAATGGCCAGCCCCAGCCCGAGTTTGCCCGCGATGTCAACATCAACACTGTCATCGCGATCTTGTCAACCACCCTAAGGGCTGCTACGGCTTTCATTGCAACTGAAGGTGGGATTCAGATGACAGTCTATAATGTCAATACCCTATGCTAAAGTATTATAGTCATCGGGCAGTCAAAATGGGAATGGTTGGAGACGCTGCGTCCTCTTCGCCACGTTGAGCATTTGGACAATGCTGGCAGGGGAGCTTGGGGGTCCATTAAATTTCTTTTCTTCATCTCAAAGCCGTAAGTTACCGTATTTCTTCAAATGGATTGATGAATATCGATTTGCTGATGTTTGCTGTGGTATCCCGAGTAAAAACTTGGCTATCGTCAGCGCCCTCTTGATGATAACATCCTACGTGATTGACCCATTCTCACAACAACTTACCAAAACGTATCCTTGCAAAATAGCCTATGAGAATACAGATTCAATAGCTGTTGTCAGAATAGTCAGCGGATACACTAATATCGACCGTCCACCTATGTGGGCAGCTGCGATGAGCGGTCTGATTTACGGGGTGGCCGAAAATATTCAAAGCCAATTATTTCAATGTCCATCAGGAAACTGCACCTTTCCCGTGAGAAAGGGTATCTCACACACCTCTGTCGGCATTTGCAACACCTGTACCGATGTTATGTCTGACCTGATCGAGGTAAACCTCAATGATAAGGATAACAGCACGATATATCACTTCCCCCAGAACCTGAGCCTAAACCTGACCTGGCCACCTCCAGAATTTGTATCACCCAACTTCCGTATGAGGACATATATTGACCGCGAGGGTGACGATGGCGAAGTACGTCTCTCAATGGATCGAATGACAGCTACAACGTCAATCATGGCGTTCTCAGCTGCTTCCTGCGCACAGCAGACTGAAGGAGGCCACATCCACAACAAAACGACCTGTCGCATGATGAAACCCGACGGCATCAAATGGTACGTCAATTGGCGGGAGAATACTGTAATCCTGGCTGTGAACTGCAGCCTTTCGCCTTGTCTGCGTCGTTACAGCGGAGAGATATCACATGGCAGCCTGAAGGAAAAGCTGGTATCGCAAGAGCCGATGGATTACGGTGACATGGAAAAGACACTACAAGGTCATGAATTTAGTCCGTGGCATCCGTGGTTCATCAAGCTCCTTGAGCCTTGTGAGGTTGACGGCAGATGGTATGATTCTTCCAACATAACCAAATTACCTAAAGATAGCACTTGGATTTCTTGGAAGAACCGCGACAACAGCACGCATGAAGGGCCACGGGACTGCATCATGGGTTTTCAATCAGTAATGAGCGAAGGGGTCGCTATGTTTCAAAACGCAACCATGCAGGCCGATTGTTATTTCTTTGAAGGGATTGGAGATCCATGGGCTATGCTTTGGCTGCCCACGGTGGATAAATTGGGCAACGCAACGCTTGAATCAATCTCCGCCGCTTTCGATGGCATGGCGACAGGATACACCGACTTCATGCGGAATAATTGGGAGGACGAACGTAATGACCGCTGTAACGTTGTTGGGACCACCTACAAGAGTGCAGTCTGCATACGAGCGGACTGGCCATGGTTGGTTTACCCGGGAGTTCTGCTCGTTTCCACGACCGTCCTGCTAGTCACAGCGGTTATCTCCAGCATGAGAGATAAGGGGAAATGGCCGGTGTGGAAGTCGACGATATTTCCTTTTCCATTTTACAATCTCAAGATGATTCGGGATGAGAATCAAGATCAACCGGACGAGAATGGCATGGACGTGCCACTGCTGCAGCTGAAGGAGTTGGAGACATTGGCAGACAAAATCGTGGCGAGGTTCATCGCCGACGCTGCCGCGCCTGGATTCATTGTTGAGAATGATGGAACTAGGAGTGGTGGTGCGAGTACAGGACAGCAGGTCGGGTTGCTTCGCAGATTTTTCAAGGCAAGGGCAGACTGACATTTGATTCTTGGTATCCATCTTATCTAGTCTTTGGCGAAATACTCAATTTTCATTTTTCCTTCTTCCGTGTTTTAACAGAAGAGTCTTGGCCAACCGGGCAGACAACTACATAACACACTAAGGTAGGTCTAATAGTTTGTTTCATCTCAATAATTTTTATCATCCCTATCGTCCTCGTTGTCCCTGTCTCCCCGTTGTCCCTGTCTCCCCGTTGTCCCTGTCTCCCCGTTGTCCCTGTCTCCCTTATCCCTATCTATTTCCCTGTCGCTATTTTCGTCATCGTCCCTACTACCCGCCCGCAAGACCCTAATAGAAAAACATAAGCTGAATGTATCGATAGATATTCCGCTAATCTCACCTCATCTCCGAAAGCCCCAGAGAGCCTTAATGACAGGATCGCAGCTCGAGAAGATTTTGACACATTTAGCACTCATCACTCCCTTATTTTATGCAGGCGCGCACAATCTATTCATTTACCGAAGCGTTGCAACTACGCCGTTGCGACACCCGGACCGGCACCGCAAAGTCTCCACCTTTACCCCGCAAACCCTCATTCCCCTCGGCAGTTATTCTCCCGGGCACGGGGCACACTCTCAAAAGGGGCGGGAGAGGGCGCGCAATCAAGCTTCGGCCCAAGAAGCGGACCAAGACATGCGGCTCGAAGCCCGATGAACATCGGACGCAATCGCAACCACCAAGCATTCTCATAGCTAATCACGAAAACAACCGCGGCTGAACCAAGCAACAGTTCAAATCAGGGGAAATGCGCGATGATACGCGACGGCACGCGACTATGCCTGAAGTAACATCGATGACGACGACAAACATCCCCCCCAGAAACTGCAATCACATGATGACGCGACGTGCAGATAAGAGTGGTGCATCGCTCGCGCCAACACCCCAATATCGGCGATAAGCAACTCCCAAAAAGCAAAAACTAGCGGAATATAATTTAAGAACGGGGGAGAATGCAACCAAGATACAATTTAGGGTAGTTCCCAATGTCACCCCAGATCCGAACCATGGAAAATAGACATTCACGAAGGCGATACTCTTTTCGGGCAAGCAAAAGTCACTTTATAGCGAAAGAGAGATGTGAGATCCAAAAGTGTGTTCCAATAACAATGACAGGCTTAGCATTATGGATTACTATGTACAATAAGCAACAAAAATTATGTGTCTGATGTGCTGTGCTTCCTTGCGTAATTACACATCCCCCTTGCAGCGTCCCCTGTAATAAGAAATATTCACATAAGAAAATGTTCACGTTATATCGTCATGAGAGAGAGTGTTGTAGTATGTGCGAGTGTGCGATGTGGCCAAGACCGGTGCGTTTAGACACCAGAGTCCTCCTGGTGGACAGAGTCCTCGAGGGCGTAGGCGTTCCAGTTGGCGCAAGTGCTGTTGAGGGTGTCCTGGTTGTAGAGGGCGCCGATCTCGTCGGGGCGCTCGATGAGCTGGAGAGCGAAGCCGAGGGAAGTGTGCCAGCCGATCTGTGAATGTTGTTAGTTGCGTGTTCTGAGAGCATGTGCTATGAAGGGATTACTTACGTGGCAGTGCATGAGCCAGGTGCCCGGGTTGTCAGTGTAGAAACCAATGACGAGGTAGCCGGAGGCGGGAAGCATGGCGACATCGCGGCGGGGAGCGTTGGTGGTCTGCAGTGTGACAGAAGAGTCCCAGGTGCCGGTGCCCTGTGCAAGAACCCAGAAGTCGTGACCGTGGAGATGGATCGGGTGAGCGAGACCAATGGGGTTCTCGATGATGAAGTGAACCCAGACGTTAGCCTGGTCAAGGTGAACGATGTTCTGCTGGGTGGAGTAGGTGTCGTTGCCGTCGATGACTTGCTCGACAGTAGGGTAGCCCCAATCGGAAAGGAAGGTGCTGTTGTTCAGGGTCCACTTGAACTGGCTGCTGATTACTTGGAGACCGACAGTGAGGGTCTCATCGTAAGTCTGCTGGCCGGCCTCGATAGCAACAACAGGGACCAGGTCAGACATGGACTCGTCCCGGCAGTCGTCCATGTAGGTGCCGACCTCAGTAGTGGGGTCAGCAGTAGAGGAAGAGTCATAGCGGACGATGCCCTTGATGTCGAGGGTGTTCTCGTTGGCAGAGCAGGTGAGCTCAGGGATGGCGCGCAGCCAGTAGTTGTCAGTGGCCTGGTTGGCACGAACGATGACATCGTAGCGCTGGCCGATACCGATGGAGATGCTGGAGGTGTTGTAAGGGTTAATGGGGACGAAATCGGCAGAGATGACCTCCAAGGTGTGGTTGTCAATCATGAACTTCCACATGGTGTCGATGGCACCGTTGACCAGGCGCATGCGGTAGGACTTTCCAGCCTCAAAGTTGGTGGTGAAGCGGGAGCCGCCGCCGTTATACATGCCCGTGCCGTTGATCAGACCGGTGTTGGCGGTAGGGGGACCGTTGGTGGCTGCGGTGGGGTAGAGTTCGTCACTGGTCTGGTGGAACCAATCGCTGAGCATGATGGTGCCGAGATCTTCGTCGTAGGGGGCGGAAGCAGGCCCGTTGACAATGATACCACCGAAGAGACCGTTCCTGGGATCTGTTAGATAGGGGTCTTGAGAATATTGGATTCGGAAAACTTACCAGGCCTGGAGGGCAAAGTGGCTGTGATACCAAGAAGAGCCATACTGAGACGCGTGCCAAGTGTAGGTGATGGAGTCGCCGGGAGCAGTCGGGCACTGAGTGATTGAAGCAACACCGTCGGCCTCGTTGGTGTAGTTCTGGCGGATACCGTGGAAGTGAAGAGATGTGCCGTTGTTCTGCATGGAGTTTCTCACGTGAACGACTTAATGTGGTCAGCAAACAGATCTCGCAGGCTGGTCCTTGCCGCTTTAAACTTACCGACAGTGTCACCCCAGTCAGCAATGATGGTAGGGCCGGGAACGGATCCGTTGACGGCGAGGACGATGCGCTCGACACCGTCGGGAGCGGCGGTGGTGTTGGTGATGTCGAACCAGTACTCACGGATGACTCCGGTGTTGGGAGCCTCCTCGTACCAGTTGGTGTTGAGATCGTAGGTGCCATCCCAGCAGGAAGGGTTGGTGGCAGAGTCGAAGACACAGTCTTGACGCTTCTCGATAAGAGAGGGAGCGGCGGCCGTCAAGGCAGGGAAGAGGAGTGCAGCGCACCCCAAAAGCGAGTGTTTGTACATGATTATTGGTGTAATCGAGTAACGAGTGTCGAAAACGAGAGAATGTTCAAAGAACGAAGATCAAATGCCAAAAACGAATGTAGGCAAGAGAGAGAAGGAAGATCAAGCTTGATGAAGCGGATGGTGATGTTCTGGATTGGATCAACCGACGGGAGATCTGACTTGCCTTTATACAATTCGAGATTCGATCACGACATGGACAAGATGCACTCAGTCTCATCAACTTCGTCTAAGCGAGCCGAGAGAGCCAGATGCCCCCGACACGAACTCGCAAGCACAGCACCCAGCGTAGCTCTCGATGCTGCGCTCTGAGGACCTAGTTCGGGGCGAGAGGCCGATCGCCCCTGACTCGAAGGGTACTGTCCCACATAGGAGGCCATCATGAACGACCGGGTTGACACGAGAACATCGGCGTCCGGCAACTTTGGCGAGTCCGCCTGCAAGCTGCTCCACGATGACAGACGGGGTACAATCAAGCATAGAAGCTATACGAGCGAGAACTTGATACCCATGTCGATGAAAGATCCAGAGAAGGGGGCCGGCCATCAAAGGCCCATGCGTGATGTTGCTCTGTCGCTACCGAGAAGGAGTAGACGAGTGCAAGACTGCTTGCCATACCCGCCGACCACCTACCATCCCTGACCGATATGGATGACCTGCATGCGAATTGCATAGGCGCTGGTCTTTCCGTACACTAGCTCGTGGCCTGTGAGCGAGCGGCCCCATATCTCGACCCATCTTGGATGTGTGAAGTTCAGGCGGCTAAGGGCTGCAAGACGACGGTGGGTGTAGGGAATAGGGAAAGATGGGGAAGGAAACAAGACGACGTTGATGATCTCCAGCCCGAGCCACATACTAAGTCGATTTCAGACGAGACGACGTGCTGACTATCTTAGTCAGTCTACCCCATGCCATCAAACGGTCGAACACGGCTGACGCGTAACTGTAGTGCTCCTGACAGCCAGCAGCAACTATCGAAACGTGCTTCTGTGTGGCTGCATTAGTCCCGCGGGTAGCAAGGCCAAACCCCGTGCGCTCCTTCGTTTCTTCTGCGATGGATACCTCCGAGTAGAGGACGGACGGGTAAACGAAACATAGGATGATTTTGACGTCTCCTAAGACCGGGCCTCCCTTGCCAAGACTGGAGTTCAGTCCGGGAGTAACGAGGGAGTAACAGGAGGACTTTGAGCCCGCCTAGATCCAGACTAGGAAATGGGCAATGACTAAGGAAATTGTGTTAAGAACCAGTCAGCAATATCAGAGCCTCATCGCGCAGAGAGAGAGAGAGTCGGCGAAGAGAGAGAGTCCACTGTTCGGCACCCTCGCTGCCCAATTGCAAAGAGCCGAATGCCAAGCATGACGGGGAACGCCTATTGGCGGGTACGGTGGTGCTAAGGAAACATCAACGGTGATAAGAATTGAAGCTAATCAATAATTGAAGGCGGGCAGGCAGAAAAGGATTGGGAAAGGCTCAAAAGGGTGGTGAAGATGGCCAAATCCGTGGCGTTCCTCCGCTGACATGCCCGGCCGAAAAGACGCGGCTTGCCAAGGGTATCCCTCCATGCCGGCGGTGCGGCGCTGGCCCCCGGCCCCTTTCGGCCGCGGTCAACGTCATCCAATGCAACGGCGCCAAAGGGAAAACCGTTCGATATGGGGCGGGCGCGTCAAAACGGGCATGGGATGCAATGGATTTGGGGACTCTTCACTCTTGGCTCTTGGGAGATGGGGTCAAGGGGAGAGAGAATATGGAGAAGGGTCGAAGGGCACAAGCCACTAGGTTGCAGTGGCGTTGGGCACTGACAAAGGAGAAAAAAAATCTGTC